TTAAATTCTTTGTTTTTCAAAAGCACCTGGTTATTGAGACCCTAAACTAAGGAATTCTCCCTCCCTTAGATGCAATCTATGATTGCGCATCCCTATACAGCAGAAACTACAAAATATCTGGAGAGTATAAACTACCAAAAGATGAATTCCTTGGAACACCTGAACTAAATGTAAGTCTGAATCATAGTCTTAATTCAAGAAGAAACTTCAGTTTGAAAGAAGATTTGTCATTGATCCCTAGATTGTTTCTTCAGGTATATTGTGACATGGAAAACAATGGTGGTGGCTGGACTGTCATTCAGAGACGCAAGATTGGTCTGACAAGTTTTGACCGCGACTGGAAGCAGTACAAGACTGGTTTTGGTACAATCCGCGGTGACTTCTGGCTCGGCAACGAACAGATCTTCCGTCTGACCAGACAGCCCACAGTGCTGAGAATAGAGATGGAGGCAAGTATGCACCAAGCAGAACATCAAAATTAATGTGGAATCACACAAAGTAACACTTCATCCTCATTAAAAGTGATCTTAATATTAATCCATGAATAATGCTTAAAGCACGACATTAAATTACACATTCTTTTTATATTCTGCTAGGACTGGGAGGGTAAGACACGCTACGCTGAATACGGCTTCTTCACAGTGAGCAATGAGATGAACAGCTACAAGCTTTTCATTGCCAACTACAGCGGGAACGCTGGTGACTCTCTGCGTTACCACAATAATACCAACTTCAGCACTAAGAACAAAGACAATGACAAGTGTGTAGACAACTGCGCACAACTTCGCCACGGTAAAAAGAAACAACCACAAGACATGTTTCTGCTTTGCTAATGAACTTCATGTTTTAACCTTAACAGCTTTATTTCACAGGTGGATACTGGTACAACTGCTGCACTGACTCCAATCTGAATGGTGTGTTTCACCGCTATGGGTCACATACCAAGAATCCAGATGGCATCTCTTGGTATGGATGGCATGGACCAAACTACTCACTGAAACGAGTGGAGATGAAGATCCGGCCCCAGAGCTTTGTACCGTAAAGACTTTCCAAAACCAAACTTATGTTCCTGCTCACCACTAAACCTTGGATCAACATAATCTACAGCTTAAACTGGGCAAACATTTCAGGGGGAATGCATTTGTAAAACAGAGTTTTGAATATGTGAAAAAAGATGTTTGATTGTGAATTGCATTTTATACAAGGTATTTATCTCTTAAATATTTTTATTTTCTTTAGCATTTTCTAGAAGATTTTATGCACATGATCATTGAGTAGAGCAAGACTTAGCAAAAGCAGATGTGAGTCATTCAGACAATATGTTCGATTTTTGTAAAATTACAAACAAATTGACAGTTCAGAAACATTACGGTAAATTCACTAGTAGAGTAAATGAACTCTGTAAAAAGTAAAATATTGAATGATTAATAAATTGTATTTAACAAAAATTATTTCTGCTTTACCTAAATGATGTCTGTCTGCATTAGTGCAAAATGAACTAACACACAGTCAAAATTAGTGGTGACAAACATGAAAAATACAACGAAATACACAAAACAACAGTGAGATTGTCCCTAACTAGTAGTACAAAAAGTATTTCTCTGAACCTTCAAGAATGGCCACCCTATTCATTTGACTTTGTCAAGACCAGTTCACATAACTATAACAGGCCAAATAAGATGGAGCAAGCACTTTGGTTATGCAGATAGCATGGTCATAAACCTTCAAAGGGCAAACACAAAAATAAATAAAAGATTTAATTCAAAAAGCTAATAATGTGGTTGCTCATTATTAGCATTTTGAATGTAATCTTTATTTATTTTTATGCATCTTTATTATATATATTTTTTGCAAAGGTAAAAGGTGAAAACTCATGAAGAAACCACCACAGTGATTAAACTAAAAACATAACTCCGTTAATTCCTTGCACGGACACCTAAAAGCTGGGTCAACATGAGCAGATTCCACATGACCATTTTAACTGATGCAGAATCTCTGGGCATTTTGTGAGGTCCAGATGAGGTTACACTTCGAGGAACTGTATGGCCTTGCATGACCTTTCAGTGCATTGGAGGACTTCCTGTGCCCAACTGGCTGACACACTTCATTTCTCAAAGCCGTTTTTCATGTCATATAAGACCTGGCATGAAACACTAGCTTAAGTTTTTTGCTTGTAAGCGTACAAATTTTGGGCTACCGTTTAACACTTACATGCAAAGCAAATTTGATCATCATCTTGCGCAGAAAAAAAAATAAATGTACCAGAGCAATATGCAAATGAGATCTGCCACTTACAGTATATAAAATTATTTAAAAACACAAACGTTGAAAAGGAACCATTTACCATTTGATAACCCTCATGTCATTGCAGACCCTTATGATGTGTTTATAAATCTTGCAGATATATTACTTAGGCAATAAAACCTAGAAGTAAATTTCAAAAGACAACATTGCATCTTATTTTACTGTGATCACATCATTATCATTTTACAAGCAAAAAAAAAGTCCCAGAAATTAAATTAAGACTTTTTCTCTTAATGTTCTCAATATTGCTCAGCATCTTTATTCTGCCACACAAAATAATATTATACTGAAAAAACAAAAAAGACCAAACAACACCAAGGCCCGAAGACACAGAACTCAATCATTGCCAGCACTAAGGACTGGCTCAGTCTTCAAAGTGTATTTGAAATTTCATAAGAAAACGCCTTACCACCAATTCAGACTCAGAGACACATTATTTGACAAAGGTGGACAAAGTTTAGTAAAAAAAAAAAAGCAACAAAGCACCTTTAATTTTATATCAAGCACAACAAAGACAATAAAGGAGGTTTTGTTACTGCTAATCTGGACAGTATCAAATGTCTATCTGTCTTTATATGTATATGTGGTGTTTTTAACCACATATACATATAAAGAGTGAATTTTTATATGTATATGTTGTTAAAACGAGTGTCAAAGAGTGAATCTCTGAGCTGCAGAGAGTGAGTGGAAGCGGGGTAAATTTGTATATTCATAGAACCGCTTATACTAAATGAGGCACGGGTGAAGAGTTACATTCAAGCTATTTTAAGGCATAAAGATTTTTTTTTTTCAAGGAAAAAAAATTGAAATACAGTATGTCATTTTGATTATCAAATATGATTTTTGAGGGATAAATTATTGGACTTTAAGGCATATACTGACAACTAAAATCAATTTTAAGGGGCATATGACCTTTTTAAAAACTCAAAGAGGAGAGAGAACCGTGTACAAAAGTTTGAATGAGAGATGCAGTTTACAGCTTTCTTATTCTTGCTTTTAACATTTATTTCACACTGGTCTTTTTTTATGAATCATTACATGATTAAAACATTAAAATATAGAGAGAATATTATATACGTGAATTTTGCAAAAAAAATGTTAAAAGTTAATTGTTAAAAAATATTCAAATTATTCTACACAATTTGGTAATCACCTGAACATGGTATCTACAGGGCTTAAAAATCGATTTTTAGGCTTTTAAGACCTTTTTCAAGATCTGCACAAGTAAAATGAATACCGTACTAGGGGGGAGAACAGGGTTTATGGTAACATTCCAAAACCATAAAATTACTGTAAAATTATGATTTAAACATCTTTTCTAATATATATATATATATATATATATATATATATTAGTGCTGTCAAACGATTAAAATATTTAATCGCATTAATGTCATAGTTAACTCGCGATTAATCGCACATTTTTATCTATTCTAAATGTCTTTTGATTTCTTTGTCACATTATTTTTTTCTCATTTTAATGCTCTTATCAACATGGGAAAGTGGATCGGCTTGTTTAGTGCAAATGTTTTTTTTAATTATTATTATTGAAAATAACATTGGAATAGTGTTCAATTTCACACTAACATATACAAATAATCTCTCACACAATGTAACACTGTCTATCAATAAAAGGGTGAAAGAAATACTGACGAGGTCCTGATATTGGCGAGGGGGTGGAGAATTCGCATCATCTGTGTGTGTGTGTGTGTGTTTGCTTGGCTATCATCAAGTGGTGTTTCGGACGTGCTGCAATGATGATAGCTCAGTTCACAACGACAAAACACACAGATCACTTGGTCTTGTTAATGGGACAATTTGGCAACTTTTTAAAAGTAAACTTTCCATTCAGTATCTTAGGGCATACATTTCGGCGTCTCGCGCTCGTCATCCACTCAAAACGTTACCTCGCAAGCCGAAACGAGTGTGTGCGCAACAAAACGTCCTCGCGCTGCGCTCTGAACCCATTCATTTCAATTGTTTTGTTGCTTCTTCGACCAAAGCACAAGCAGATCTAGCTAGACCGTAAACGAAACAGGCACGCTGCAAACACACGTTTCGGCTTGCGAGACTGCTTTGAGTGGATGACGAACGCGAGACGCAGAAATGGATCAGGACGCATGCCGCGTCCTGTTGCAAAAGCATGTGAAAAAACTACAAAGTTTGCTAGGACAAAAAGACCGTTAATCGCGCGATAAAAAAAATAACGCCGTTAGGGGTTTGCGTTAACACCAAGTCAGTTAATAACGCGTTAAACTGACAGCCCTAATATATATATATATATATATATATATATATATATATAATACATTTTGTAATTACACCAATGCTACTCTATCAAATTTATTTCAATTTTAATTTAAGCACTGTCAAGGACCTACTGTACGTTGGTTTTCACATACTATCCAGTCCTTGAATCCATGTATCAGAAATTTAAGGACTTTTTAAATACTTTCAAGAAGCGTGTGAACCCTGAACTGACAAAAAATTAAATAAATAAATAAATAAATAAACTTTCATAACGCTGAAATAATAGAGCAATTGTATAAACTTTTAGGTGCTGTCTGACACGGTCATTCTTCAAACATGCAGAGGACCTAAAGAGAATGTTTGCCAATTTGGGAAATTAATTATACATGTGGCAGAGAAGCTTATTTATTTCGAGGACAAATTGGGATATACTTTAAGTTTCCTACCTGATCAGAGATTCTAAAATGAGCGGTGAAGGGCCCTTTTGAAACTCAAGTTCCTTGTAGTGCAGGGCCTTTGCGTAGGCCCGACATTTAGCAGCTCTCTCCCCCAGCAGAACAATTCCATTGTCATCTCTCAAAGGAAGTGGGCCCTGAAAAAATAAAGAAAAGAAAAATTTTGGATATAGAAGAGATGAACTGAATGGAATAGCATATTAAACAGGCCGAAACTGAGCATCTAGCCCTGAAACTGCTGGAATAAAACTGAACAAATGTACCATTCATTCAGACTTCAACACAATGAGATCATTCTAAATATGGAAAAGAAATGTAATCGCCCAAAGTGCACAGGAGAAGAACAAACTATAGTGCTCCTTTCGGGCTTGATTTGTGCGGTAAAAAATAAATGATGTATATTTATTAACATGAATGACCTCTCTGGATAGGATATATAAATTAGGGTTTGTTCACATTTCTACCAATTAACTTTTGAGGGAAATATTACAACCTAATGTTCCATGAAATGTCTGTGTATACGTGCAAAATAAGAATAAAAAATCCATGTTCAAATTTCAAATCACAGCATATCTCAACTTATTAACAACAAGCTTTAATACAAAATAAACACTAACGCACAAGTAAGACGGTTAGATAAAATACTATCTCACCCTCAGAACTCCACTATGTAGCAATAAATTAACATACATTAATGGAATGCAACAATGTTAAATAAGTAAATAAAATTACCCAGTAACCCTGAAAGTATTGTAAAGTTACTAAGAAGATTTTGAAACAACTTTGCTTCTCATTGGATAATCATCAATCATCAACAAGATAATGTTGATTATCTTGAATTAAATTATTTGAATTAATTTTGAATATTTGAATTATTTGAATGAATCAAAAACCCCATTTGAATTAATCAAAAACAGTCAAGATTATCTTTTCATTTTTGCAATTTACACTGAAGTACAAACTGTAACTGTCACGCGTTACTCCATGACAGGGTCAGAAATTAAAATTTTCAGAAGGGGGCCCTTGCAATTGATTTCCAGGATCCAGGCAATTTTTATAATTTCCTGCGTTGTCTTTTATGTCAAATGTTTGAATTTAACCAATTACTTAAATCAATCAGAATACAATATAGACTCCTACCGATACATTTTTTTTATCATTAACATAAGCCATCTTTACACTGCAAAAGTGGAACAGAGGCTTCATCTGAAATAGCATAAATGTTTATTTACACAGATTGTTTAATGTTACTCATGAATTATAAAATTAACAGGAACTCATTACAGAATGATTATTGTCAATTAATGGTCTTGATATTGTACTAACGATTATTAATGTTGATTAATAGAATACATAAAAATGTTTTTGTGTTTGGGGAAACTGCACATCATATTCTGGCTACACAGATAAAACAATCTAAGCATCAAACCATTTATTAATTATTTAAATACTTTTTAACAAAGACTTTACATAGTCTTGTCAGCAAGATAAATAACTATATTAACTGGAATAAACTGTATACAGAAAGGGAGTAGAGAATGTGACTGACCGTGAGGCCTATCATAACTTTGGTGTATAGCGTGATTTTAAGCACTCTCACAAACACTACTGTTAATATCACAGAAGGTGACTACATGAATCTCTTACATCGAATCTGCACTTTTTTGTTTATGATGGGAGGATTCACAATTTCTTTCAGTTAGAATTCAGTCAGAGAGAAAGAGAGTGCACTGAACAAAACTCATTGTTTCAGCGATGACTAATCTGAATGCCTCTGATTGGTCCTCAAGTTTATAAGCTCAACAGAAACATGTGTAATTAGTTTGCTCAGCGCTGCAAAACGAAATCTGATGGAACGCGGCAGTTAGATGGATTGAAACTTTCTGGCTTTATTTGTTTTGCCAAAACTTTTCCAGGCCTGAAAATTGCCATTTTGAAATTCCATGACTTTTCTAGGTTTTTCATAACTGTACAAACCCTGAGAATCATATTGCATTTAGTTTCAAATTTTTTTTTTTTTTAATTATTATTATTTAGTTTTGTTTTTTTCTTCAACTATCTTCAAGAAAAATCTTCAAGTAGCATTAATTTGCAAATGATATTAAGTGCATGAAGAGAATGCATGTTCTTTTTAGGACAGAAGTGTCCAAACTGTATTTATATATTTTCAGATGTTTTAAAAAGCCTTTACTCTCTTGGCTTGTAAGGTTAGTTATTTGACCAAACGTACGATGTGGATCAGACATTATGCCTAATGTCAAACGTCAATAGAGACAATAGACTTCTTTACTGACCTTATCACTGTGCTCCATGAATTCTGCAAGATTGAGCAGTGTCTGTGTGACCTCAGCAATATCCTGAGAAGTCAGAGCCAGCTCAATACTGCGTATCAGTTCATCCTGCTGGTCTTCACTCAGCTCTGACCAGCAGGACAAGAATGCAGCATTAAAAAGATCCCTGCAGAAAAGAGAAAATGTACACACAGGCTTTGATAATTGTGGAGGGTTATGTCCATTCAATAGTCTACATAGGTTTTTTTTTCCTGTGGTATTGTCCAAACAACATATAGCAAAGATGGTTGTGCTGCTATCTAAGAACAGAGACAGAGGCGAGAGGGTTTACCTGGCAAGTGGTATGTATGTCTGTGCCAGAGACCAGCAGGAGCGCAGGGCAGGTGAGGATGATTCTTTTAGCAAGACCACACTGAGACGTCTCAACCATTCCAGCCAGTCATCTTTGGACACCTTTCTGGCTGCACCCCAAGCCTGCACAAAGCAGAAACAGGACTAATTAAAGCTGCAAGCAGCGATGAAAAGGGCCATCACATCCGTGCTATTCCCACCCGGTGGCTTTAGGAAGACAGAGCATGGTGGGCAATGTGCTTTTAATTAGGTAAATATAGGTGTAATATGTAGTATATGACACTTATAAAACATGTTAAATTTGGAGCGCATTGGAAATTGCATGCTTAAGTTACAACAGCTTCCTCTTGCATGTATAGTATTTGTTAACACTTAGCTAAGTGTTTTTTAGCATTGTAGTAAGTTGTTAGCATGTTTAACATTTGGTGGCACTTTTTTATATGTTTATTGGGAGTCCATAGCTGTGTTTAACATGTCCTTTCCTGTTGCCCGTAGGTGGCGCTATTTCTGTAACTAAATATTCTCATGTAGATGTGTTCAGGCCATGACTCTTATCAAACGTTTGAAGTTTGGGGCTGATTTGACATTCCATGGCTGAGTTAAAGCAAATTCCTATTTAATTGCAGTAATAGCTTTAACAGTTAGCTAAGTATTTGCTAGCTTGTTTTACAATGTTTCAAGTATGTTGTTAGCATGTTTAGCACTTGATGGCACTTGTTTATGTTATTAGGAGTCCACATCAGTGTTAAACTTGTCACTTCCTGTTGCCAGCAGGCGGTGCTGTGACTATTACATGTGTTTAGGAGATAACTTATCAAATGTGTGAAGTTAGGCGCAGATGGGACATTGACTTTTTGAGTAACAATTTATAATTGTTTCATTGAATTAGCATGCTTTAACAATTAGCTAATATTGCTAGCATGTTTTAACATGTTTCTTGCGAGTTTAGAACTCAATGGCATTTTTAACATGTTGTTAGGACGGCATCAACGTGTAAAACATGTCACTTCCTGTTGCCTGTAGGTGGCGCTATTACTATAACTGAATATTCTCAAGTAGATGTGTTCAGGACAGGACTCTTATCAAACGTGAAGTTTGGGGCAGATTTGACATTCCATGCCTGAGTTACAGAAAAGTCCTATTTCATTTTAGTAATAGCATGCTTTAGCACTTAGCTGTTTGCTAACATGTTTTAGCATGTTTCTAGTATGTTGCTAGCATGTTTAACACTTGCTGGCACTTTTTTTATATGTTATTAGGAGTCCACAACAGTGTTAAACATGTTACTTCCTGTTGTCAGTAGATGGCGCTGAGTTACAGCAACTTCCTGTTTCATGGAAAAACATTGAAATTAGTCATGCCACAGAGGACACGCCCTTCGATGAAAACTCAAGATCTTCGCAATTTAATGTTGCAAAGATCTTAAGATTACACTCACCAAATTTGAAAATGATCGGATTAAAACTTTAGGAGGTGTTCATTAAAGTATGAGGCCTGAAAATGGCAAAAACTGCATAAAGATCAGAGAGGAAGATCAAAATGGCTGACTTCTTTTTGTTTTTAGGGGTACGCTCCAAGAGACTTTTTTGTAGGTATTGGGTCATTACATGCATGTACCTATTAGGAGTCCAGAACAGTGTTAAACATCACTTCCTGTGGCGCTATGAATATAACTGAATATGAGCATGGACATGTGTTTAGGAGATAATTTTATCGAACTTGTAAAGTTTGCCGCAGATGGGACATTGACTTTTTGAGTAACAACAACTTCTAATTTCATTGAATTAGTATGCTTTAGCACTTAGCTAAGTATTGCTAGCATGTTATAACATGTTTCTTGCATGTTTAGAAGTCAATGGCATTTTTAACATGTTGATAGAACGGCATCAACGTGTTAATCATATCACTTCCTGTCGCCAGTTGGTGGCGCTATTACTATAAGGGAATATTCTCATGTAGATGTGTTCAGGCCATGACTCTTATTAAAAGTGTGAAGTTTGGGGCAGATTGGACATTCCATGCCTGAGTTACAGCAAATTCCTTTTTAATTGCAGTAATAGCATGCTTTAGCACTTAGCTAAGTGTTTGTTAGCATGTTTTAGCATGTTCCAAGTTGTTAGCTTGTTTAGTACTTGCTTGCACTTTTTCATATGTTATTAGGAGTCCACAACAGTGTTAAACATGTCACTTCCTGTTGCCAGCAGGTGGCGCTATGACTGTAACGTAATATGAGCATGGACATGTGTTCAGGGCAGAACTGTTATCAAACTTGTGAAGTTTGGGGCCGATTGAACATTGTTTGCCTGAGTTACAGCAACTTCCTGTTTCATGGCGAAACATCAAAATTTGTCAGGCCGCCGAGGACACACCCTTGGACGAAAACTCAAGATTTTCACAATTTAACATCGCAAAGGCCTTAAGATTACACTTACCAAATTTGAAGATGATCAGATTAAAACTGTAGGAGGAGTTTGTTAAAGGGTTAGTTCACCCAAAAATGAAAATTAAGTCTTTAATTACTCACCCCCATCCTGTACCAACCCCGAAAAACCTTCGTTCATCTTCGGTAATACTCCTAAGCGGTGAGCAGCCGGTAACAAGAAATAGTCGAAGAAGAACATCGTCATCTCAGTTCTCGCGCATGCGCCCATAAGGAAGTAATGGAATAGTCGAATAAAGTCGTTATTTATGTTTTTTTCGCACAAAAAGTAGTCTCGTCGCTTGATAAACTTATAATTGAGCCACTGTAGGCACATGGAATATTTAAAAATTTTCTTTAATGACTTTATGGGCCGTCAAGAGCCAGTCCCTTAGGCAGTCTATGTAGTAGTGATTCAGCTCTCAGATTTAATCAAAAATATCTTTATTTGTGTTCCGAAGATGAACGAAGGTCTTACGGGGTTGGTACAGCATGGCGGTGAGTAATTAATGACTTAATTTTCATTTTTGGGTGAACTAACCCTGTAAAGTACGAGGCCTGAAAATGGCAAAAAACTGCACAAAAATAGGAGAGAAAGTTCAAAATGGCTGACTTCCTGTTGTATTTAGGGATACACTCCAAGAGACTTTTTTGTAGGTATTGGGTCATTACATGCATGTTCCGAATTTCGTACACGTACGATTCCGTACACGTAAGTGAAACATAGCAGGAGGCGCACTACGTTGAACTTTTATAGGTGGCGCTATCGAGCCATTTTCCCCCGCACAATTCTGAAACACATATCAGATGTAAATTTTCGCCAGTTCTGACGTGTGTGCAAATTTTCGTGAGTTTTCGTGCATGTTTAGGACCTCAAAAATGCGCTTCATTTTGGAGAATAATAATAATAAACAGAGCAATTTCAAGAGGGTCCTCTCACCAACGGTGCTTGGGCCCTAATAAACAGATAAAAGAACCACGAGAGCTCTGTTCTAGCTATCTGCCTCAAAGCTTACTACATGGAGAGCCTTCTGAAACTGCATATGTGACTGATTTGAAATGCTCTATATAGACTCCAACTTCAACACAAAATGGGGCTGTTCATACAAAGTGCAGGGGAGATCTAACTCACAACTGATTACAATAGTTTGATGTTAGTATGTCTTAAAGGTTATTGTGCATATATAAGATTTAAAATACACAGAACTCTCTCTTATCTATCTATCTATCTATCTATCTATCTATCTATCTATCTATCTATCTATCTATCCACACACAGTATAGTATCTCTTCTGCTCATCAAAGCTGCATTTATTTGATCCACAATACAGCTAAAGCAGTAATATTGTGAATTTTTTGTACAATTTAAAATAACTTTTCTATTTGCAATTTGCTGCACAAGAAACATTTATTAAATCATTGTAACAATGTAGAAAACAGTTTTTTCAGAATTCTTTGATCAACAGAAAATTCAAAAGAACAGCATTTATCTGAAATAGAATCCTTTTTGTAACTTTATACACTACTGTTCAAAGGGGGTCAGTTATAATCTTTTTCTTTATTTTTTGGAAATAAATGAAGGAAATACGTGCTTCAGTAAGTTAAGTAAGGATGTATTAAGAATAAAAAGCCAAGACACTGAAGTCCATCCATGGGTGAATGTTCAATATTTAAGGCAACAGAAAACTGAATGATGAAGGTAATGGTGGAGAAGATAGTGGAAAGACAAATAAGGCAACACATGTAAAAGATTATGATGAGTCAGAGAGAACAGACAATCCCTTCAACATTGTCTCCCGAAAGACACATCAAATATCTGTCTGAAAAAGACGATCAAGTGTGGTGTTGAAGACTGTGTTTCAAACTATACAAAATAAAAAAAAGAGTTCAATGAATATCCTGGGCATGCCTTTAAGGGAAATAATTTCCTCCAAATGTAAACAGTTTCCCGTTATTTACAAATGAGCACTCATTCAACTAATACACCACAAACAATACCATTATGTTCAAAAAAAGTTAAAAAAAAAAAAAAGTTTTAAAAAAAGTAAAAAAAAAAAAATAAAAAATGAATGAGGACATTATAAAATAGATCAAATTTCCAACAGTAGAGCCGAAGTTGATTTTATTGACATCAGAATGTCTGATATTTTAATAGACTGGTCTGCTTCAATATCTACATTAATACCAATCTATTAATGACACATGCAAATGTTAACACATCATTTTACAAACCTTCTGCAGAGCAGTTGTGCTGACGTGCAGTTTCTTCATGGGTCCTGATTCGACTGGGTTACTAACCAGAGTGTCGCTTTGATTAGCACGTAATTGTCTATGCTGAAATATTAAAGGGTCTTCTTCCTCTTCCGCCAAAGTATAGCCCTGAGAAAGAGGCACACAGGTCAGCAAAGACAAATCAAACACACACAAATCTACATTTGTGTCAGCTTGAAAAAACCTAAATGGCCAAAACGTTCCACAGATAAGGGACATGTTGGTCTTGAAACTCTAAATATAGTGTCAAATGTTCATTTTTTAACAAAAGGTCTACTGACCACTGATTTGTGTGATAATTTACTAGCAACATGCATTAAAATATAAAAAAATAAAACAATAAAACGCTTTCATTCAAGTTCCCCCATTAAAAAAAGTAAAATAAATAAAATACATTGATACCAAACAAACATTTTTTCTCAAGTATAATAGATCTAAATACTTTAAAAAACTTCTCACGATTCGTTGATCTCGATAGCTGTAATAGTAAATATGTATAATAGCTGTAGTAAAAGTATTAAAGAGAGTTTCACAAGTAATATGTAGCTATTTCAAATGCAAGCATGTCAGCCAATCACAGCAGTGGCTGGTCACACTGAATCCCACAGCAGACGCCCCTTCAAACAGAGCATTCAAATCACAGGCTAAAATCAGGCTAGGAATGCCTTTATTTATAAATGATGACTATTTTTGATCTAATAAACATACTAACATTATAAGGGCAACCCAGCAAACATTATAAAATAATAAAATAACCCCATGTCAGGGGACCTTTAAGCCTAGTTCACACTACATGATTTTAAAATGTTGGGCTGAACTGTGCAGTTCACATTACATGACTTGCTCTCAGTGAAATCATGAGTGTTCAAGTTGTTTAGCTGTTCACCACACACAACACAACGTGATTGATCCACAACAGGAGGTAACTCACTACACGAGTTAACAACGCACTGCATAGAGATACAACCACGATCGGATGATAAGAGCATATCATTTGTGACTCAATGAGAGCTGTTTCAGTACTATAGTACGGTCTAAATCCTGAAAATAATCAAACAAATAACGTGTTGACAACAACACGATTCTATCTGGTCTAGAAACCATGTTTTGTAACGGAAAACCACGCAATAAAACGAACCAGAAATGACGCGAAACTACAGAGAAGAACATAACACGCGAATATGGACGTCAGACAGAAACTAGTGCTGCACACTGTTTGCTCGACGATCTGCTCTGAGAAAAAAAATGCAAAAAAGAAAAAGTAAGATTTACCTGGTGTCCTCAACCCATGCGTTGCTATGATTGGCTGTACTCATGACATCACTGAGATTGAGTCGCGCGACTGCTCGAGATATCTAGCAGGCTAGATATTTTTCTGAGCTCGGTGACCTGTCTGCGAGCTGTCTGCGAGCTGTCTTTGATGCGTTGTTGGCTCTTTCACACTAACGGATTGGCGAGCGTTAATCGTCCGCTAATCGCCCGCGATTTGCACGCGATAACACCCTGACTTGTCGGCGACTCAACGATTTGCAAATCGGGCTTAAATCGGGCTTAAAATCACGTAGTGTGAACTAGGCTTTAAGATCTGCACAGACTGAGGTAATTCACACACACTTAATCTCTCTCTCTAATATCTGCATTATTCTGCATTTTAATGGATTAAGCCTCCATTACTAGCTCTAAAATTTTTTGAAATTAGAGATGGAGGCTTGAAATGAGATGCATAAGTAAATAGACAAACACACAAAAGCGTTTTATGGACAAAAACCTAACATATGTCTTGAAATACAACAACTGAACAATGTCTTACAGTGTGGTAGGCATAGTATAAACTGAATAATTGACTATTTCCCCCTTGGGTGTGTATAATTTTCTAATAATTTAACGGCCTTTCTTCAATTGTTCCTGGCATTAAACACTTATTCTTGGAAGAGGGGCAAGAACCATTCTTTTACACCAGCATTACGTGTTGGTAATTCTATGCCAGTAGGAAAAACCATACATCTCAAAGCCAAAGACAAGATTAGATATGGATGCCAAGATGCCACGTGCTGGAACAGGAAGTCTGGGTTCACTAGCAAAGAATGAGTGGTGGTTCACACAGGGGGCCAAATTCAGGAAACGGAGGCAGGCTTCTCCATTAGAACACAAGAGCTGGTTTGTTTCAGACAAGTTCTTCTAACAAGAACGTGACTGAATATTCATCAGGGACCTAGTTTATGTAAAATTTTTAAAATGTTCTTTTGCAAAGAAACATTATATCCACAGACGTGGAGAGGGTAGAATGCTGACCTTGACAATTCGACAGATGAGCACATCGTAGCGCTGGTGATTGATGCGATGTTTCAACATCACTTTATTAACCATAGGAATGAAGATCTGGTACTGTGAAAGAAATATGCAGAAATTATTTTTTTGTGCTAATATTCATGTCAACACAGCAAAAAACTATTATGTTATTAAACATACTAATTTATTTGGAAAGTTCAATATAAATATAAATATTAACAAATGAAATTAAAACAATTACAAAGCCTTCAAGTATTGCTCAATTAAGTTAACACTGCTTCATGTTTTTAAATAATTATTCAAGTGCCAGTAAACAGCCAGTAAAAAAACACTAAAAACAAAGCAAAAAAGAAGTACCACATGTGTACTGAATCAAGTCATTGTACTCATGCTAGAATTGTAGAAATATTTGTATTGTTACTTCTTTTTATTTTAGCATCAACTTGGTTGCAGTACTTCTCAAATGAAGAGGAGGAAAAGCATAATGGATTTATTTAGACTAAAAACCTTTTGAGTATTGGGAGTGCACATGTGTATACATGTGACTAAACCCCATCAACTAGGAAGTACACAAATAAAGCGTTGTTCCTCTAACACAGGAAACTGAGGATTGTGGCCAGCAATGATCAAAGGAATCAGAACTTGTGTCTAGTGCTCATGGTGGCCACATGTTGACTGGTAATTTTAAAAGGGTTTTAAAAGGAATGGTTGAAGCAATGACCTCATCCCTCTCTCTGATTGAAAACGTCTTTGTGCATTAGCGAGACACTAGGGAATAATTAGAAGGCTACTTCAGAACATCAGTTAATGACATATAACTATGAGAATTATGGCAAAAAAAGTTTAATAGTTTATTTCCGAACGATGAGGACAGCATTACAAATCCACTCCCCAGACTTGAACTAGGCTTTAAGATTGTACCTTTTTTCCAAGCTGAAAGACTAGTGAGGACAGCGTGTCCATCGAGGTGCTCCGAAGCTCTGGAGTAACGTCGAGTGCGCGCACAATGGGATGAATAATTCTGGAAGCATAATCCGTGAAGTCTAAAGACTCAGTCAGGCGATCTAAAGTCTCCAAGGCAACCCTTAACACCAAAAAAACAAAACAAAAGTTCATTAAAACATTTATTGGCATTTTCTTTTTCTTTTTTTTTTATTTAACAATCAGACATACATACAAACAAACCAACATAGTGCAGTAGTGAGCAATCTTGTAAATCCATAATTCCAGCAGTGACAAGAGTGATTTAAGTATTTGATCTAAGTGTGTATGTGAGCGGGTGTGAGTGTGGGTATGTGTATGTGTGTGTATGCGTAAACAAGTAACCATTTATTATTTATTACCATTGTCATTACCATCACCATCCCACTCCCCACTACCACCATACTGCCCCTATTGTGTTGGTAGATTTTTATTTCCATCCTTCCTCCTATGTAACTTGTCAATCCTGCATAAAATAAAATATGATATAATAAGATAATATAATATAAGATAACCTTCCCCCACATCTCATCAGTCCCTATCTTTTCCTATTTTTCTGGGGGGTTTTTGTGTGTGTGTGTGTGTGTGTGTGTGTGTGTGTTATGTGCAATGTCTAAGGTGCATTAAAATAGGGAGTACAGAGCGAGAGTGTCTCAAATTGGGACAGAGATGCTGTCCCGTTGAAACCACTTCTCGCCTGTCTTGCCTGCCTTGGTGTTTGTGAGGTTTTTCCATATATACTTATTCCTTCCTTTTTTTTTTCTTTTTTTTCCCCCTATTCTAGCAACAACAACAGCAATTACAACAATGAAACAACAAAAGAAATAAAAGTGAAAATAGTAATCATAACAGTAACAGTAAAGATAGTAATAACAATGATGACAGAAACAAGTTCAAACAACTAAAATGAATAGAAATTCGTGGGTTGGTTAAGAAGGTGGGAGGAGTCGGAGTTAAGAACAGAGAAAGGATTCATAGCTGTAAGAGGTCAGAAAGTGTTGGACGGCAGGGGTTAGTTTCAGAAGTGTAATTATGAAGGGGAGATGCGAGTTCCATTGCAATGAAGTCTGTTATAAGATTTTTCCAAATGTTAATGTGTAATTTATTTCTGGTTTTCCAGTTCATGAGGATAGTTTTCTTGGCGATGGTTAGCGCTATAGGAGTATTTTAGAATTTATAGTTTTATCAGTGATTATTGTGAGCTCCCCCAGCAAGCAAAGGGAAGGCGACAGTGGGATGTGGCAGCCAACTACAGTGGATAGTGACTGTGTGACCTCTTCCCAAAAGTATTTGATTGGAGCGCAGTGCCAAGTTGCATGGATGTATGTATCTGTAGAATTTTGATTGCAATGTGTGCAAACTTCTGATGTGAAACCCGTTTTAGCTAATCTATTGCCTGTGTAATGTGTTCTGTGAAGTATTTTGTATTGTATTAACTGAAGATTCGCATTTTTGGATATGAGATGTTTTTTACAGATTTGGGTCCAGAAGTTGGCATCAGGGGCTATTGAAAGATCGTTTTCCCATTTTATTGTTGGTAAGTATATGGTCTGAAGTTGATTTGAGATCATTTTGTATATTTTAGAGAGAAGTTTCTTTGGAGAGGAAGTGTTGACCAAGTCTGATATTGCCGGTGGAAGTTCTAAATTTGTATCTCTGATGTTTATTTTGGTCAGGACAGAAGATTTGATTTGTAGGTATTTTAAAAATTCGTTGTTCCCAATGCCATACTCCTGGGCCAGTTGTGGAAATGGTTCAAATGTGTTGGATTTGAAAATATGCTTAATGTGGGTGATACCTTTTCCCGCCCATGTGTGAAAATTCAGTGTTTTTTTATTGCTTATAAAGTCACGGTTGTTCCACAGTGGGGTGAGGTTAGATGGAGCTAGTGTAGAATTTGTGATTTGGTGAAATTTTCACCAGGCTGTCAGAGTGGTGGCTATTGTTACTGCATCAAAACATGTGTGTTGTTTGATTGATTTGGTGAGGAACGGTATGTCAGCTATATTTAATTCTTTGCATAGTGATTGTTCTATATCTAGCCATATAATATCTGATTCGGTGGGGTGAATCCATTTGTATATGTATTGCAGTTGGTTAGCCATTGAGCAATATTGGAAATTTGGTGCTTCTAGTCCTCCTTGAACCTTACTTTTTTGTAGTGTAGTGAGTTTTATCCTTGGCGTTTTATTTTTCCAGTAGAAGTGAGTTATAATGGAGTCTAGTGATTTAAACCAGGTGAGTGTGGGGTGGGTTGTAATCATTGAGAATAGGTAATTAATTTTCGGTAAAATCGTCATTTTTATTGCTGCTATCCAGCCGATTATGGAGATTGGGAGGTTGAGCCACCTGAGCAAATCGTCTTCTATTTTTTTTTTACCAGTGGTGTGAAGTTGAGTGTTACCAACACTGACAGTCTGGAGGAAATCCTAATGCCTAAGTAAGTGATGTGATCATGACATATAGGTATAGGTGATTGATGGGGTGCCACATCCCATTTGGTTTTATGTAAAGGGAGGATGGAAGATTTATTCCAGTTTATTGCATAATCGGATATTTTTGAGAAGGACTGGATTGTTTTATTATTTCTTGAGTAGATGTTAGGGGTTCTTGTATATATAGTAGGATATCATCTGCATAGAGTGAGATTTTATGTGTTTGTTGTGGTGTTTCAATACCTTTGATTGCTGGGTTTTGACGGATAGCTGCTGCTAAAGGTTCAATGAAAATCGTGAATAGGGATAGAGAGAGTGGACATCCCTGCCTCGTCCCCCTGTGCAGTGTGAAGCTTTGTGGTGTTAGTCCGTTCATTGTGACTGTGGCCGATGGTGATGTGTATAAAATCTTGATCCAGTTAATAAATGACTATCAATAAATGACTGATCCAAAGCCGAATTTTTGTAACGTGGTGAATAAAAATTTCCAGTTGACCCTATCAAAAGCTTTTTCGGCGTCTAATGTGGCAATGAGAGTATCTTTCTGTTGTAGTGGTGAGTAGTGCATTAAATTGTATAATCTGCGGGTATTATTAGATGCATGTCTACCTTTTATGAAGCCGGTCTGATCAGGATGGATCATATACGGTATAATTTGTTCAATTCTATGGGCTAAATAATTTGCTAATAATTTTTATGTCGACATTTATAAGTGAGATAGGACGATAGTTGGATGTGAAGGTGTGGTCTTTGTTAGGTTTAGGAATGAGTGATATAAATGCTGTATTCATGTGGGAAGGGAACTTTGCATTGTGTTTTATTTCTGTTATTGTTCTGCTAAATAGTGGGTATAAGGTTGACCAAAATGTTCGTAGAACTCAGCAGGGAAGCCATCTGGACCTGGTACTTTATTATTTTGCATGCTTTTCAATGCGGAGTGAAGTTTTCTGTGATTGGTAATTTGGTGTTTATTTGTTCCATGTTGAGTTTTGGTAGAATGGTGTTATCGAGGAATTGGGTTATGTCTTCTTGGTTTGGGTCCAGATCAGATGAGTATAATTTTGTATAGTAATCCTGAAATATCTTGTTTATCTCAACTGGTGAATTGGTTAGCTTCCCTGCCGAGTTTCTGATGGAGGTTATGGCTGTTCTTTCTTTATTTCTTTTAATTTGACTGGCTAAATATTTTCCGGATTTATTGCTATGGTGAAAAGTTTCTTGACGGAGCCTGTGAATCAGAATTTGGTTTCTTTTTTTTTGTTGGCATTTTCAAATGACAAAAATAAATGTTTACCCTCTTCAAGTGTTGGTCAAAAATGACCAATAAGCAACAATGATTATTTTTTCTCAATGAAAATAATGTTCTATAGTTCTCTCCGATAATGTTTTTTATTCATATGTTTATGGTACTAAATTATATTTATATATTTATAATCCATTTATTCACTTTCTGAGCATGGACCTGTAAATTAAATTTCCAACATAAAGTGATGTAAATCTTGAATGTGACGGTGCGTGTCCACTACAGCGGCAAAACTCTGCTCAGTGCCGCTGGCAACGCTGTAAAGTCTCCGCTTTGGGGTGTGTCTATTGTGAGTGTATTTAATCTGTTTTTTTCAACAGATAGTCACATACACACAGTATAATCATCAGAGATGCACGCGATTACATTTGGAAATGGACAAACTTTGTTTACATAAATGCCCCAAGCAAAGATATCCCGTCAATTTTATAAACTTTTATAAATCCAGCCAGGATAATCACAATGAACACATCCAAAATGAATTATTTAACATTTAACAACTACAAAGCGTCTAATTTGTAAACAAAATTATTTTGGCACTAAATCCAGCATAAACTCCGGCACAATTTGTATATTTTCAAAATCTCAAAACAGACGTCACATCCCAAAACGCTCATCAATTGGCTGCCGACTGCATTTTTCGCTTTATATTTGCATAAAGTCAAGAACTGCCCAACCTTTTTGACGCTTTCGGTCGCACTCAACGCTTTCTCCGGGCCGCTGTTAATCCCATAATGCAATGCGCGAGCGTGAAGCTCGACTTCCATAGGAATGAATTGAATGAATTCGCTCCGCGCTAGTGGACACGCACCATTAGAGTACAGACTTAAGTTTGATCTCTTTTCAAAGATGACACTAAGTTAAAAAAAAAGTGTATAAAAGTTAAAACTTAACAAAAGTTACAGAATTTAAAATTTATTTTTATGAAAAATGCGCAAAAATAGTATTTTAAATTTTTATATGAAATATATATTTTCAAAAACATGTTTTCCTCTACAACTGTTAGAAAATCAAAGCTATAAATCTAAACAAGTTGTGTTAAAAATTTGAGCCTGAAAATAGCTTTCAGTATAAGATTTTGTTACACCGCAGTACCAAAAGTTTTCACTAATTGAAATTCGTCTCCCATTCATTTCTATTACAGTCAAAAAATGTTGACTGCGAGGAACATAAGTGTGACTAATTTTTTCAGGACCAATTAACCTGTTTGAATCATGTCCATGATTGTTTTTAGTGTTCACATAGCAAGTGCCAATACCTTGTTTCCTACCATTCCGACGAAGAAGGAGGGGAAAAAAAGGACAGAAGAGCACCATTGCAGCAAATGTGCATACTGTATATTTGCTTTTTTAAATTAAATTACATATATTTTCATTTGCCCACCCTGTTCTGTATATTGCCCTCGGCATCCAAATAGCTTTTAAAAAAATATTTGTAAAAGTAAAGGAGACATGATCTAGTCAATTGTTTGAGGTTATAAAACTGAGTTTCCAATTTAAAAATATAGAAAGCTCTACCAAAACACCCGCACTGTGGTGCAGCCAACAAAATCAAGCACAATAATAAAATAAGATCCGTCTATCTTTCTCTTCAAAATTCTTTCTTAAACTCAGCCCAGTACTTATTCAGTAAAACAATACCGATTCTGTAAAAAAAAAAAAAAAAAAACAAGGCTTCACTGAGAGTAATAGCAGAGGAAAAGCTGGCCAAGCCACTTTGTTTATGTGATCCTGTATTCATAGACTCTGGGGTTACCTGATTCACATTCGTCCTTACCACTGCTGCCAAAACACTCACACAACCTCAAATGACTTATGCCCACATTTAAGTCAACAATGGAATCAAAAGTATACTGTATATATATATATATATATATATATATATATATATATATATACTTCTCTGGTTTGAATAATAATTGAAAAGAAAAGTGATTTCTTATGGAGCTTGACCAGAGCAGAAGATTTTCATACTGACTTGCGGGCCTGCAGGGGGACATCGGGGGCATCGAACAGTTTAACTACAGGAGGCAGCAGTAGGTGGAGGTAGTCGTCCAGGTTAGCTCCAAACAGCTGGATGGCCATGAGCAGCTAGGACACAGAAGGAAGAAAACTGCCTGAAAACTGTGAAACTGGTGCATCAAGAACAACAGTACATCTCAGAAAAAAAATGGTTAAATACATCAGAGCTGCACATAGCACTTGGCATACAGTAAACCATGATATAGAAATCCATTATGTATATCCGCTCATGAATTTGTTTTAAAAAATTATTGAAAAAATAATCACAATTATTAATAGCCATCTACATTGCAATGAACACATTAAAGCATTTGTTAACACTATAGCAAACCACTAATTACAAATTTCTTTATCTTTTATCCACAAACGAGGAACACAAGAAAGCAAACAAGTTCTAATAGGAAAGGAATAGGTATTAGAAACAGTAAGTAACTACAGTGAGTAAGGTTTAGTGGAAGGTCAGTTCTACATCACAACTTCTAACAAGCGTACCTCATTTTGTGACTGGAAGCTACAAACCAGTACTTAAAAACAGACTTAATTTACAAAAAAAAAAAAAAAAAAAAATTATAATTGTTCCATATTGATATGAAATGTGACTTGAGGATACTTTTGCAGAGAAATGGCTATAAAGAGTCTATAATCTTTAGAAAAAATCCTTTTTTAAATCAAAATATTGTCCCTCACAAGGTCAAAATCTGCCAGCGCAGCTCACATGATTGATTGAGCTTTTGTTTTCTTATTCGGCCCATAACAACTGGTAGGCAGTTTAAGAGCTCCTTTATGGTGACCTCACTGCTCCCAGTGATGCAGACGATAGTTATGGGCTCTACAGGCGTGCAGAGAAAAGACTCATGTGGATATAGGAATTACTGAATTACTTGACTTGAATTACTTGTTTGGCCTGGAGCAACACACATCTGTCAGTAGCTGCAGACAGCCGTAGAAAGATGTCTCATGATGAAGGAGCACGGGGAAGCTCTGATATTCATTGACTTTTTTAAAAAATGTGAAGGGGGATTATATGCATGTATGAATGTATGTATGTATGAATGTATGTATGCATGCATGTGTCTATTTATTTATTTATATTCAACATCTGGAATACATGGGTCTGAAGCATTGTCTGCATAATCATTTTAGTATAAAAATATTATCTATACTGTACATCTGCTAGTCACATCAAACTTCATCTATAATCAAATTAATCTGTGATGGTAGTCAACCAATGTACAGTTTCTGGTGGAGATACTGATATCTTGACATTCCAATCTCTTAGAGTGGAAGAAGGCCGATATAAATATACTAAATAACACATGCTGCAATGACATTTATATTTAATTTAATTAACATTTACTCAATTAGAAACAAATCATGTGTAAATGAAACAATATGAACATTTAATTTCAACTTCTTTAGACAGAAACTTCTTGATCTTGTAATTGTATTTTAAATAATATATAAATAAATAAATGAACCATTACAAACATGAATTTCAAAAAGTACATTGTAATCTCATTTTCTGGAGAAAAAAAAAAAACGAACAAATTTTACAAACTACACATGAATGAGTGAATGATTATGATGACAAAGGCAAATTGGATATAGAGCAACATAGTTTGAAAGCAAGGATTTAAAGTTTTGCCAGAACTCTCCTGACCCCACTGAATTCACACAGATGGACTGTCACGCAGAGTACACATACTTTTGTACAATATGCACACTTCAGAGAATCGAACAGCTCGATTAGCAGAAGTTTGAAATGTTAATTGAGTAAAAATATGTATTAGATATTCCTAGAATTCTTTACATGAAATAAATGCTAATGTCCAGAATGACGATGGTAGAAGATATTATAAATAACAGAAAGATAAACACCGTTTATATATACCATTTTTATATACCGTTTAGTCTGTGGATATTCACTAGACTGTGAATACAAAAAGGATGCTTCCTAAACTATTCTGAAATACAGGTTATCAGATTACCTAAATACAGACAGAGGGGAAGGTTTGCTGGTCGTCAGAGGACCGCAAGGTTTAGATCACAAGGTTTAGATGAGATCATCCGACACCCGCAGGTGAACTCGGCACATATTGAAATAATGTGAAACAGGTGGCACAGCCAGCAGACGTAGAGTGCTTACACATTAAATTACCATAAAGTACCATAAAATATCCATATTGACTTTTTAGATAAATCCATAAATATATTTAGACAAGCAGCATCATTCCGTCTTTTTACGGTTAAAATATAATTTCACACATCAGAACTAAAATACCAGTAAACTCCGTTTTATCAATCAACAGAAATGATCTTGAAACGCTGCACTGTTTTTTTCATCTGCCTGGGTGAGGAGAAGTGCTTTAGTTTTACTCTCTGTCTAATCTGGCAACACTGTTTGACTTCTGATTGACAGGCATAGTGGGCTCAAGAACAAATTTCTGCTTTTAAAAATGAGACACTTCCCTCTGGGCACCTAGTCTGTTCTACAGCCTTTTACTAATGTGCTTTTATGTGTGTATATATATATATATACATATATAAATAATGTATTGTATTTTATTTTTTAAATTTTCTCCTTTGAGTGTGTGTAGTCCGAGCCATTGATTGTTTTGTGTTTTAACTTGAAAAATCTTTTAAAAGAAAGTAAAAAAAAAAAAAAAAAAAGAGACACTAAAATAGTTTGAATAGATAGTGCAAAATTGCCAAGACAAAACACGTCCAAATGATAAACTTATACTCTATGATATTAGTTAAACTTGGCAGTTAATCCGCAAATCACATGCGTGCCAAATGGTAAGGCCTGGTCCGTATGGATCACAGATCAACTGCGATCCGTTGCACCCCTAGTAGATGCTCAGTGTGATAAACTCCCGACTCTCAAGACCATTTAACTGCATGACGTAATTACGTGAAATGCACGTCATCAGATTTTAGTAGTCTGAAGGACAATACTGGCGCTTTTCCACGGCTCGGTACGGCTCAGTACATTTCGCTTGGGCGTGGCACGGTTCGGCTCGCTTCGCTTCGCTTTTTCACTGCGTGCTACAACTCGGCTCGACACGGCACGGCTTGGTTCGCTTTAGCTCAGTTGCTTTTCCACTGCAGTTAGTACCACTTTAAAGTGGGTGGGATTATAGACTGATCAATAACAGTGGTGGCTGTTACTGGCTATTTAAATCAAGCGGGTTTGGTTTCTCGTGTCGATGTCTATTGGTCGCAAATACAATGACGCTGGTACTGACGATTCTGTCTGACCAATCAGTAATCTGCAGTGTTTCACGTCACATTTAGTACCGCTTGGAACCTCAACAGACCAGGTACAGTACTGTGCAGAAGTCTTAGGCACACTAGTATTTTCGCCTCAAAGAAATGGTTTTAATTCAGTTATTTATATATTTTATTGTAGTGTCTCAGTAGGAAATATCAGTTTACATTTCCAGACATTAATTGTGCCATTAATTGTAATAATCCAGTGAAATTTTTGAATGCACAAGGATTCTGACAACAGCCAATGCTCCACACGTATGCCGGATCTCACCATCAGAGTGCATCTGAAATTATATGAAGAAACAGAAAAAACAGAGACCAAGACCTGAAGAACTGCGGCAACGTTTCCAAACGTTTCCGTTTCCAAAAAACCTGCAAAACTAAAAACTATGTGCAATACCTGGACAAAAGCTGTTTTAAACGTAAAGGGTACTAAACACCTATTGATTTGATTTAGTTAACTGTTAAAAGTTAATAACAGTTAATAATAGTTAACTAATAAAAGTGAATTGATAAATAAAATCTATTTATGATTATGACATTATTTTTGAAAAGATTCTCATTTACAGCATTTTTACACAAGTGCCTTAAAGGAGCTAAACGCAAGTCTCTGAGTTTTTGCAGAACTACGCCCCCTCTGGCGACAAGCGAAACTGCAACCAGAGCTGTGCGCGTTCATGGAGGAACACACACACATACGCACGTTTGCACGAGCTGTTCATAACCTAAGGAGCATCAGCCGCACACTGTGCGGCACACATCTTTTGTTTCAGTCATAATGAGGTAATACAGTAATAAATCTGCAAGTCATTTAAAGTATATGAAAGGAAAGGCATTCGAGTAAATTACACACTTATGTGTGTGAGAGGGGGAAACGGGGGTAGTAGAAAACTTCCGTTTTTGTTTCCATCTATCTCCCTGTGCTTACTGTATCCACTTATGATTGAATTATTATGGAAACACGTTCAGTTATCACTTTGTACAGGATCCGTTTGAGCCCTAGAGCATACCAGAGATCTCTCCGTTTGTTGAAAGCCTTCCCGATGTCGACTCTCGTCTTATTCCGACGCCTGGCACTGGACAGACTGAAGTTTTATTTTCTTTGTCTCACGCGGAGTTTGCGTTGGGGTTTGTAATGAACTACAAGCCGGTCTCTTTCCGCGCCATATACAGATATGAAGTGCACGTCACCGAAAGCAACAGATATGAGCTGGATTTTATTAATCATCGGCTAATTTCAAAATCAGCAAGACAGCAATAAGAGAGATCGGCAACAGGCCCGGTAAGATCAATTCATTTTTTACTTTTAATGAAGATGGTAGTGTTAAGCGTCTGCGACTTACTTTCACTTTGATTTGCGATAGATTGCGGCGCGCTGGCTTGCTCAGCTCAGCTGCTCATCTGAGGTGATGCGCGTCGTCATATATGACTAAATAAACATGACATATAGCTTGGTTTCAACAACCAGATGCATTTACACTTGTCCAGTTTCGTCTGGAATGCGGCCCAGACCACGTCCTCAAGTGGTTTGAGCGATCGGATTCATCCGTCTCTAACGCGTTTCAGAGGGCATTTACACCCTGGTCTTTTCACGATCGAATAGCTATCCGATCACAGAAAACACATGAAGTGACCAGGTGTAAACAGCCCCTTTGAACCCATCGTCTACTTTTGTGGAAAGCTGACTAGAGTTGTGTCGCTCGAGTTGTCTTCTCTGATACGGAGAACGGCGGCGAATAGCTACACGAACCTGCCAGACATAGCCAGGCGAGCGTGAACGCGCATGACGTCACGCCCAGTCTCAGATTCGAGCCCGAATCCCTCTTATATATTTCACTGTACAGGATTATAGAGGCGATCTCAGTGATCAGAGAAGGGCTCATTCAGCTCATCAGGCAAGTGTTTAAGCATGTATGGGTTAGAAAACGGCTATTTTTAACATGAAATGTTGCGCAATGCACCTTTAAACTTTTTCACAGTACTGTAGCTTTGCAGGCAGGCAGGCACTACCTTCGAGACTTTGCCGCAGTTCTTCTGATGTTAGTCTCTGTTTTTTCTGTTTCTTCATATAATTTCAGATGCACTCGATGATGGTGAGATCCGACCTCCGTGTGGAGCATTGGCTGTTGTCAGAATCCTTGTGCATTCAAAAATTTCACTGGATTATTACAATTAATGTCTGGAAATGTAAACTGATATTTCCTACTGAGACAGTACAACAAAATATATAAATAACTGGCTTAAAACCATTTCTATGAGGCGAAAATACTAGTGTGTCTAAGACGTCTGCACAGTACTGTACCATTTAAAGCGAGCCGTACCGTACCATGCAGTGGAAAAGCACCACAAGTGAGCCGTACCGAGCCGAGCCTTACCGTACCATGCAGTGGAAAAGTGCCAAAGCGTGTCGTACCGAACCGTACCATGCAGTGGAAAAGTGCCATATGTAACCTGAGACGTTCTAGTGGAGTCTTAACTCCTAGAGGCGAAGAATGTGACCGAAGAGGGGGCACTGCGTCACATCTCCTAAATTGATTTCCTGACATTTTACAGACTAACTCCTATTCTTAGTCCAAACACACACAAACATATTCTTAAACACACGCTGAACAAACATGTGGCTCCAGAAGACAAAGAAGCTGATGACGTGCATTTCAGGTATCTATATGGCTTCAGTGACGCGCTGTGCTATGTCATCACGCCATACGCTCGACAATTGGCTTGCCGCGTGCATACACTTGCTTCAGACACTGGTTCACACAGAATTGTTCACATGGTGTCAATGCATGAAGCAGCGGAAAAATTACTATTCGAAAAGGAACATTGATTTTGAAAAGTGTGCACCACTTTGCTATATGACAAAACTCAATTGCTCACATGGAATTTAAACCCTGATTTAAGAAAATTGCACATAAATATGCATGATATTAATGGAAAACAGTACAGAATTTCACACAATGTTACACAAATAATGCTAATATAAAATATGTAAAAAAAACAAAAAACAAAACAAAAAAAAACATGTAGGCTTATACGCAGTTGTAACAATACTGTGTGCATCAATCTAGAACAGCGTTCTAGTGTAAGAAGCATTGATACTTTAACACTCATATCAGTTTATGCATTTACCTTAATGGTGACGCTACGTCCAGGGCTGTTGTCGTGCATGAAGACTCGCAGCATATGTGGGATGAGTTGTGGCAGGTAGAGTTTGAATTCTCCACCTAGAGCCACCACTATCTGCTCAATCAGCAAAATAATGGTGTTCTGCATGGGATTGTTTGGAGTCCAGTATTCCTGAAGGAGAGAAAACATCATATCCCAGTGCTCCCAACATGACTTTGTTTTTGCAGTGAGGGCCAACATCTCCCCATGTTGTATGTTATGTTATGAAATATATTTAGTTTTTTTTAATAATAAAATACTATTTACTAGGGCTGACTTCTAATAGTCGAGGATTCAACGATTCGATTCGGAGAGGTCTGATTCGACTATGAACGTTATAGTCAAATAGTACACGGCCAGTTCAACCTCGTATAAATCAGGTTATGTGTGTCTCCCACTCACGAGCGCTCACTCTTAACAGACACGAACAGACACACTGTCCCCGGCGCTGCGAGTCAGGCTGCGAATGTAAGTTACAGGGGTTGGACAATGAAACTGAAACACCTGGTTTTACAACACAATAATTTGTTAGTATGGTGAGGGCCTCATTTTGCATCCAAATACAGCACCAATTCATCTTGGGAATGACAGATAGAAGTCCTTCACAGTGACCAGAGGGATTATGAGCCGTTCCTCTTCCAGAACAGTGTCCAGGTCACTATATGATGCTGGTGGACTCGCTCCTCCAAAACACCTCAATAATATTTAGATCTGGTGAGTGTGCATGTTCAACGTCACTTTCATCTTCATCAAACCCTTCTGTCACAAGTCTTGCTGTGTGTGTTGGTGCATGATCATGCTGATACACGGTTTGAGCATCAGGTGCTCATGATCCTCCAGAAGGGTTTGGTAGTACTCGGCAGTGTCGTGTCCATCAAATACAATCAGGATTGTCATGATATTGGAGCTCAAACCATAACTGATCCACCAGTGCTTCACTCTGAAGATTGGCCGCCAGGCATATAGATGTGAAACCTCCAACATTGGCCAGTGTTTCAGTTTCATACTTTCATTGTCCAACCCCTGTACGTGCCCGCCCCAGCGCGCTCACACTAATAAACGCCTCACCTCCGGCGCCCCGCACTCGCTATATTCCCAGCACATCTAGTGGATGCATAACGCAAACCCAGTCAAACGTTTGACTGCAGTATCTTATGCGCCTCATAATCCGGTGCGCCCTATATGAAAAATGTTCTAAAATAGATCATTCATTGAAGGTGCACATTATAATCCGGTGCGCCTTAAAGTGCGGAAAATATACATGCGTTTTATATTTAGCCTGAAATAGACAGGCATTCATGCGTGACAAAAAATCTTTACGTTTTAGGAGGCAAAATATATTTTTTGTAATTCTGTGAAATACACTGCTTAAATCAGATGAGGAAGGGTTTGCTCTCCACAAAACATAAAATATAATTTTTCGTGTTCACAGAGGAAAAAAAAATGTTACAGATGTGACAGTTCTCCGACGGACACGAGCGCTCTGAAGCAGCACTTAAAGACTGCTTTAAAACTTTCACAGACCTCAAAAAAAAGCACAAAGCCTTTCTTTAAAGTGAATTTCGTTTTTTAAATTGTTTTCTTGATTTTAATTAATGTTTCATCACCCAACTGTCTGGATTTAATAAATAAGAAGGGAAAGCAGACAATTACTGATAATCAAGGCACGGGGCACCGATGTGTGAACTGGTGCTCGTCTCATAAATATAGCTGCCGCAACTCAGCGTATAAGTATAGTCTACTCCACAGACCTGAAACATATATCTATATTGAAATGTCTACTTGTAAATAGAACGATTCAAAACGAAAGAAAACGTAATGCTCTCTGCTTATGAAATGAACTGTGGATTTCTCTCTGGCACATGCACTATGCGAAGATTGCGCAGCATCGTCAACTTCATCTTTATTAATAAACAAAAAACAATTAAAATGTCTCCTTGCTATATTTGTTCTTTGTGACAGCTTTTTATTTTCGGCAGCACCGCTGCTACCCTTGGGCTAAAACGTTAAGTTACAACTTTCCCAGCAGTTTTTTGAAAACCAGGACATTTTCATCACTTTATAAAAAAACAGCCAGGACGACCAGGACAGAACATGAAAACAGGACATGTCCAGGGAAAACAGGACTGTTGGTCACCCTATATCTGTATATCAACTTCTTTATGTAATCACATTGTTAAGAGGATAAGAAAAAAATTTTTAAAAAAAACAACGATATTTTATTCATATGTTATGCTATAACCAATGTAGTAGACACATGACTCCATTGTTTAAAAAAATAAAATGACATCAAATTATATATAGGCAAAAATAATGGCAATAATTGAAAATCGATAATCATTATTATTATTTGTTTAAATTACATTGATATCTGAATTGATGTCAAAACCTAGACTTTAAAACATCAAAATATTTATTAATATGTATTCGTCTACAAAATGACACATAAACATCGTTTCCTATTGTTTTTTTGCCTGGAAACGCTTCCAACCAGCTTGCTTGTCACGTGAAAAATATAGGCGTCCGTTCTATTTTTAGCCGCGCATGTCACGCAGGCAGTGTCCAAGCTCTAACATAGGAGCCGAAATATAAACGGTAAATGGACACGCAACGCAGCCAGTGTGTCTCCGGCCTAAACGCTTCCAGTGTGAATACACTTACGCGCCTGCAGCTGCTGCAGAGGCAATGTAGTTACGCTGATGCGCTGCTCAAGCATGCGGTATGAAGCGGCCGTGAAGGGGTTGCCCAAGCACTCCGGTTCGCATCGTATTCACGATAGATGTACAACGCAGTGTAGACCGGACGCGAGCGCGACCAGTGAAATCCCCAACAGCACACGGATTCCCCATCCTATTTCTGACCAAGAACCCTCCCAGCTCTTTGCAACAGTCGCTTCAAGCACTGTGTTGCTTCGTGCCACTCCTGTCTCAGTAGTAGTCTAGACCAGTGTTTCCCAACCCTGTTCCTGGCGGCACACCAACACTGCGTGTTTTCTTTGTCTCCCTAATCAAACACACCCGATTCAACCCATCAGCTCATTAACCCACCTGATTATGAGCTGATGGGTTGAATCAGGTGTGTTCGATAAGGGAGACAAAGAATACACGCAGTGTTGGTGTGCCGCCAGGAACAGGGTTGGGAAACACTGGTCTAGACACCGTGGTGTTCTAATCAATTTTACTCAAAATAAACTGACACCAGAGACCAATGTCTCATCTGTTGAGAACGCTATCTAACATATAAACACAAAATCATCCATGGTTAATCGCTCCGGGAAATTCATGAGAGTGGCAGCCGAACCACCGTTCAGCTGGAAAACTTCTACAGTCCCTAATTGGCCAAAATGCTCTGTTCGACTTTTCTGCGATCATCTACTCTTCCTTGTGGATGACCTGTGACCTACTTTCTATTAGACCTGAAAGGCCAAAATGCTCTGTTCGACTTTTCTGCGATCATCTACTCTTCCCTGTGGATGACCTGTGCCCTACTTTCTATTAGACCTGAATTTTTGACATTGAATTTTTGACATTGAATTTTAGAAAACTGAATTTGAAGATCTGAATTTTTTCAAATTGAAAACTTGAATCTGTATTTTTTTTAAACTGAATATTTGCAGTGTTTGAATTCAGAACAAAAAAACTAGCTGTTTGAAAATACATGTCTATAAAATTCAGCCATAAAAACCTTTCAGTTTGATAAATTTCATTTGTTACAAAAAAATTAAAATTCAGATCTATTTAAACTACCACCAAAAATTCTACTTTGTTAGATTACACTTGCAAATAATTAAAATGTACAAATTCAAATCATTTTGTCATATTAATAGCTCCATACACGAAAAGAATGTAAATCCGATTTTCAATTCACACAATATATGCAAATTCAAGAGTTTACGTTACTGAACGCAAAAGATTGGTGACATCAGCACTGGTGAGAGAATATAGTGCTCACCACTTTTAAAGGAGTCATGAATTGAGAAATCAAATTTTCTCTGATCTTTTGACATTTAAGAGGTCATTGTACTATTAAAAATATCCTGTAGGTTACAGAATTCTAACCTGTCTTGTTAGTCCAAACACAGCTTTTAATGAAACCTAGCTCAGAAAATGACTTGCTTCTGATTTTGTCACATTATTACATCGTAGTGCAATGAAAGACTGCCTCTGCAGAAAAAGATCAATGCCTAATTCTACATCATTTCCTCTTTAGCCCCATCCACCGATTTGCGCATGTCATGTTCACTTTGTTGGCAAATTTTACAACTATGTAACAAGATATATTTTTTAAATCAGAAGTTTTCAAAACAGTTCCACCTGTAATGGCAGGGATGTTGAAAATGATTTTAAAGGGCACCTATTATGGAAAATTCACTTTTACATGGTGTTTGAACATAAATGTGTGTTGGCAGTGAGTGAGCAAAACCACCCTAGAATGATAAAAATCCACCCAGTGGTTTTTTTACAATCTCAATAAATCATATGAACTGTCTCAGAACGAGCTGTTCTAAGATTCAGCTCTTTGTGACGTAGAATTGAGCAAGGGGTTTGATTGACAGTGTGGTTGTGGCCTAGACCCCGCTCTCGGTGATCTGTACACACCATCCTCCATTGTTTCAACGACAGCCGGTAATGTCTCTTGGAAACATAAGTGTTCTGTTGTGGACTTGTGGGTTAATCCTGTTGTTGTGGCTTAAAAGTTAATCCTCAAGTGTGGATCGTCGTCTACTCTTTGCGATCCAACGTCACCTCCAGTAACAGTAAGTGTATTTTATGATTTTTGAACAAATAGTTATTTCAGTCTGTCAGCCAATTCATCAACAAATGCATCTAAAGTTGTCGTCGTCGACGTAGGATGTCTGTGTATATAATTTAAACATTGTTTGTATAGTGTGTAACCACACGTTTATAAATATATTTTTAAAGATCTTGTATTAAAAACTGCATATATGTTGTTGTTCTATAAGTTAGCCATCTTCTCACATTTGCCACAGAAGCACCTGTATAACAAGTAAACATGACGCCACAGGTCCCTCGCATTAATGTAATTTCGCTTACGTAGCAAACTTTATCACAGAATGTGTACGTAGTTTCAAAAAATTGCGTTAGTGTTGTGTGTATGTTGCACACCCATACTTGCAAAAAGACGCGATTACAACTCTATAACTACATAAATGTATCAAATAACCATACCGAGACGTACTGGTCCATTCTCATTTGTGTTTATTCTGCCGGAGTCTCATCGTACTATTTATATATTCCGATTCAAATGTACGCTGAATGACAGACAAAACAGCGCGTCTCTCACTCTCTCAGTACCGACTGCCATTGGTATCAAGTTACGCTCTCATCCAAAGGCAGCTCATTTGCATTAAGGTGGCATACACCCAAAACAGCTCATTTTTAATCAGGCCCCAAAATGACATTTTCAAATGGTTATAATAAATTAACTATGGGGTATTTTGAGCTGAAACTTAACAAATAAATTCTGGGGACACCCGAGACCAATATTACATCTTGGAAACAGGATAGAAAATAGCTTGTTTCTTCTAAATTAGGATGTTTTTTGATGTAAAAATCTTGATAACATTACATTTACATTTATTCATTTAGCTGATGCTTTTATCCAAAGCGACTTACAATTGCTATATATGTCAGAGGTCGCACACCTCTGGAGACACTAGGGGTTAAGTGTCTTGCTCAGGGACACATTGGTTTCTCACAGTGGATTCGAACCCGGGTCTCTCACACCAAAGGCATGTGTCTTATCCACTGCACCATTACCACCCTCACATTATATAAGTGGCATTCAGGGAACATAATAGAAAAAATTTAGCCCAATTGTGATTGGCTTTCAGGATGTGACACCAGCGTTGAGTTTCATTTGCGACAGTTTGCACGTCTGCTCAACTGTTGCTCAACAAGATGCTCAACTGTTCATCACTGGCGGGCCATATCTGTGGTGTTGCGTGTTGCAGTAGCTCATTTCTGGCTAAGGAGAGACTGCATAACACGCTCTAAAATGTGTTTCTGTTAAACTGTTCTGTTCACTGTTCATTCTATCATATTTCATACAGCACCTATTTCCCTGTAATACCGTTATATACAAAAAACACGTAACAGTTTTTACTTTACATGTCCAATTTAGTTTTAATCCAACTGACGCGTGTGCTGAGTGAGCAATTAGCAATCAAGCATATCCAACAGAAGTTCTCTCTCTCTCTCTCTCTCTCTCTCTCTCTTTCTCTCAAATTTCGGTTTGTTCAGTTGTCTGTGTTTCTTTGTCTGGACACAACACTACTCTGCACATACTATGTGATATTGGTTTTTGGTATTGAAGCATTTTAATGAATACAAGTACATGAGTGCAATATCGAGCCCGATACCGGTACTGAAAAGTGCATCCCTAATTAAGTGCACCTTTTTTAGGCCTAAAATTTGGTTTCAGTGTGAAAAAGTGTAAATGAATCTCTCACCCGGATTAGTGTGAAGATATCATCCATGTACGGCCGGATGTGGATCTTGACAAAGCACACAACCATTCCCATCTGCTGGAAAAGGAACTGAAAAAAAAAATCTGATTAAAATTACAGAAAGACACAGAGAAATAGACAACAGAATAGGTACAACCAAAACTTAATTGCAAAAGAAATTCAAAACTCAGAAGTAGGCTACTCTACATGTGGTTTATTGATGTCAAATTGTTAAATGTAATTTAATTTCCTCAAATAATGAAGCATCATCTATATATTTTATAAAATAAAATTAAATATATTGTGTACATTTCATTATCAATCCAGTATAATCCTGTCATAATTAAATGTATATTTCAATGGCAGTATTTAGCTAAGCATTGGTATGTTCATTGAAGTTGTTGAAGGGGGAATGAAACAGAATTTGCGATAGTCTTGTCTATACTATAGTTATGTATATCCAAGTATAATGCCTTCTCAAACTATACAAATAGGCGGGAATAGATTTTGTCCATCAAGAATTTATTGGATCACTGGATTGTTGTTGTTTGCTATTGCCACATTCTCATTTGAGTGTCGGGTTTTCCAGCCCTCATGTTGGTAAACACGAGAAGAGAAGATGGAGGGGAAGTTATTTTGAATAAAGATTTCAGGGACATGAATTTTAAACAAATACTGATGTGGGCAGATAAATCATTTATAATAAATACTGCACTATTTGTAAAAAAAAAAAATAAGAATTGTCCATTTTGATTGCTAGCATGTTTTAACATGTTGCTGTAAGTTCACATGATGCATTTTTCAAAGTGTTGTTGCATGAAGCTAGCACATGACAAGCATTTATTAGTATGTTGTTAAGTATATCTGGTGAGTTGCTAAGTGTTGCTGCCATGTTTTAGCTGGTATAGATAGATGATAGATAGATGATAGATTTGTGTTCCTTCATGTTTAAATGACAATAAAGAGAACTGAACTGAATTTACGCATTGTCAGCAGATCACTTGCAAAGAATTTTCCCCTTCCACTGATGCTTTTATTAAATTGCAGCTGCATTGTCAAAGAATGTATTGTACTAATTACCGCATTGTAATTTGCCCTGTTCATTAATTTACGAGACACAACTGCATTCTACAAATTAACTCCTGAAAAAATTCAGGTAGTGACAACAGCATTTACAAAATAATAGGCAGTGTGTATTGCTTTATGAGCCATTTTAAACTGCTTTACAGATCAAATAATACACAAGTTTTAAAAGAAGAATGAAATTTAAATGCTTTTATAAAATAATTATCTTCAAATTTATGCTTTTAAAGCCTTCAAAATTTAGCCCCAATTCACTGAAAGTGCCTCACTTTAACCCTGATTTTTTCGCTTTTGCTTTTTTACATATTTATAAATAGAGGGTCAAACTTATTTTTTTCTGGTAGCTAACATTGTCATAAATAATGTTGAAATAGCTTAACTTGTACTGAACCCAGATTATTCCTTTAAAAAAGAAAAACAAGCCTGATTGTCATTGACTGATTGTACACCAGAGTAAAAGAAGAACATGTTACGTGTTGCAATGCCTTGGCAAACCATCAACATGATACATTTCTGGATTTCATTTGATTTATGCTTTAACGTTCAATTCTAAATATTTTTTTTGTACAAAGCATTACTTTATTAACAAAAGATTGTCCAGAAAGATCAACAGAAACGCATTGCACTGAAAAAGTACATTTACAGTACTGTACCTCTCTGATGCTGGCATCACACACTCTGATGACGTTGAGAAAGGTGGGCATAACCTGAGGCAGGAACTGCACACATTTCAGGCCAAGCGATTTGAAAATGAAAGTGACGGCCTGCACCACCATGGTGTGGTGATTGGACAACGATGGGTCACGCAGGATACGCATCAGAGTCACTATGGCAACTGCTGGGTAAAACTCATCTAGTGGCAGGTTGCCCATGTTGACCAGCATCTCACTGGTACTGTAGTCAGCTGTTGAGAATAATAACATTCAAAATGTTAGATGGTAAATAATATTTTGTATTCCCAAATCATTTCTAATGAATATTCTCATCTTTTTAAGATTGTTCTAAAAACAAAACTCAAAAAAGAATTTAAATTCCTGAAAATTGTTTTTTTTTTTTTAATCAGCATAAATACAGTATCTCATAAAAGTGAGTACACCCCTCACATTTCAGCTAACATTTTAGAATATCTTCTCAAGGGACAATTCTATAGAAATTAAATTCATATATGATATATTTCAGAGTAGTCAATTTGCTGCTTGTATAGCACTGTTCATAAATATGTATTTCCTTTGTGCTTTGAACTTTTCAATGCGGTCTCAACGCGCTGTAACTTCATGTGGCTTCAAGCACATCATTCTCCGCTCGGGATGCACATAAACGCTTTGTGCTGCACTGTATTGGAGCCTTTAATATCATAATGCAGTGACGCAATGACAGATTATTAATTGCCTTTCAATTATATGTTGCTGCCTCATTAAACATCTGTGCTATACATTTCAAACATGTTGTCTCAATTTTATAGCAGTCATGGCTATATCTTTTTGATTTTTGTTATCTTGTTTTTCATGAATGTATTTTTCAACAATACAAAGAGCAATGTGTATTATCCATTAATATAGTTTATAATAGCATTTTTGTCATAGATCATGACAAAATAATCATATGATCCACCAGCGAGGAACCAGCAGAACAGAGTGAACATTCAGTCTGTTTAGTTCAATCCTACTTAATAGGAATTTATTTAAAATGCTCGCTCTACTCCACACCATTAATGTCTTGTGCAGATATCCGTATTTTGACTTTCGGTTTTAAGTAAGTGATTTAAAAGCTCCCAAGTCCCGAGTCACAAGTTGATTAACCAGTGGGAATATACACAATAGGCCTACCTGATATGGAACACAAGAGGGCAGTATAGCACTAAGTATGACTCAGATTATTATTATTTTTTTCTGAATTTTACAATCATTCTGGCTGTTTTTGAACGTAAACAAAAATTGGAAAAATTGGTTTAGTTATAATATTTGTATAATTTAATTTAGAAACAAATGATGTATAATTGAAGAGTTCAGATGCAAAAGCCTCTAAGTGCCATTTGAAATTTTCTTCTAGAATGATAATTTTTATCAAGCTTGTATATTTAAGTTCAGTGATTTCACTTAAATGTCAATGATAATTACCTATTAATTGTTATTTAAGTGAAATTACTGACCTTAAATATACAAGTTTGATAAAAAATCATCATTAAAGAAGAAAATTTTAAATGGCATTTAGAGGCTTTTGCATCTGAACTCTTCAATTACATTTTTATAAGATATGAGGCTTTTAGTGTTTACTTTTTTGACATTACTTTAATCTTTTGCCATAGTTGCACATGTCTACTGGCTAATAAATGTGATGTATCTGTCGAGTTTCAAGCAATTTGAAGCATGCTAAGAGTCCCAAAAGCATCAAAAAAGAATGTTAAAGTTTGATTCGTTGCCACGGCAAATATATATATATATATATATATATATATATATATATATATATGTGTGTGTGTGTGTGTGTGTGAAGCCGGTAACACCGCCACCCTGGTGCCTTTAGGGTTATTGTGGACGACATGCAAAATGTAACATGCTTTGACTGATGCAAGCTCTGCAGCACAGTTTATAGTAAGAAAGAATATAGTAAGAAAGAAAAGTAAGCTATTACTCTGAGATGGTTTGGGAAACAAACATTCATCATGTCGCATTGGTTTTAGTTTCTTGTCCTCGAACAGAGCCCTAATCTGTTTATATTTCAGTTACACATTCTACATTGATTAAAAAAGAAAAATCAAATGTGTTTTTAATTTGTACAGAAATAAAATATTTATAATTCAGCTGAGAATAAAGTTAATGTTAGTTCAAATTTTAAGAAAAACAAATATATGATCTTAAATATAGCACATTCATTTAAAATTCATTCAGGTTCAATTACCAAAAATACAATCTTAATTTAATTTAAAGCAAATAATAAATCTAAAATATATGGGTTATATGCATATTTTTGTATAAAAAAAAAAAAAAATCACTTAAATTACTCAAGATCCTGAGAACCGTGCATAAACTTTCTTCCTGCCCACCATTCACTGAGCTCACCTTCAGCACTAAACTTCCCATTGCTCTGTTATCACAATAAGAGGGTCGGCAGACAATTCTCAGCCTATGAGAAGATATTTTTCTTAAAGTGGGACAGGAGAAAAAGTACAGACCCAGACAGAGCTTCCCCAGGCGGTGACCTTTACTTTATCCTAATGCATCACTGGAGAGACATCTATACTTCCTGCTGCATGCTTCTTTATGAGGCCCTGCTGTTAAAACTATTTATTCTCTCTGCACAACAGGAGATTAAGGTTTGAGCTGCTGGACACTGATACTCTGAAGAATGACTAATAAGGCCAGACACTTGCCATGAGGAGCTGTAATACATATAATAACCCACTCAATCTTCAATCTTCGCTCATAAAACCACAAGCCAATATTGTCAAGTGTCATGTGACTAGTACAGCTAAATGTATGTGACTCTAGAGCCTAAATAAAATGGCATCAGAACGATGGTGATCTGGTGGCACCTTAGCCGCCAAATGGTGTAGTTACAGTATCTCTCATTGCAGTACACAAGATCCAGGGGTGGAGTTGGATTCAGATCTAAGGGGTGGAGATTGGTAAGGATTAGGGGTGGGGTTAGGGCTCAGGGGGCGGAGATGGGTAGGTTTAGGTATATGCAAGCTGGATCCCCTGGATTTCGTGTTCTGCAGTGAGGACCATCTCGGCAATGGAGCAATGATAATCAAGAAAGCCTTACCCCTTGGTTTTAAAAGTTCTACAAATTCATACAAATGCAACAGTAATTGTTCTTTTCAATCTCAATTTCAAGTAGAAATTCTCACAATCTCACTGGAAAGATGAAAGATGATTACAGCTATAAGCTGTAATTTGTATTTCAGGGAACATTCCATTTAAATTCTGGATTAAGAAATAGTGGATATGTTGCACTTGGGCACTGTGTTCACAACAGTTGGAGAAGAAATGTCTATTAACTAAGAACTGTTTGTTCTGATTATTGGGCACATGCATATGAAATTAGGAAAAGAATGATATGGGTGGGAAACGAGTGATAATGATATGGGTGTAAAACGACTTATGAAAACAGCATTGTAATTTGATCTACTTTAATTGTACCTTTAAAAGACTTTATTGTGCTCATGCAGGGTATGGAATTGCAACAAAAAAAAGAAAAAAATTCTACAAAGAAAGTCACCAATAAAGGATGAAATGTTTGCACAAATTTTTGTGAAAGGCCAAACAATCTGTCAGCACGCTACCCAGGAGTATTGGCTGTCTTTCTGGAAAGAAAAGGATAAAATGAAGATGTGGTTGGTTTGCTCTGGAGAGCACGTGTGTTGGATGGCCGGCCTCTTCTATGCATCAGTGATTAATTGTGTTGATGTGAACTCACATTGGTGTGCTGAGAACCCACTGTGTCTGGATGTGCATGCTCAAACAAGCTATGGGTGTATCTGATCACCTGAATCCTGGCTGGACTTGGACTCTGAGAGGCTGACAGCAGAAGCATCACGAGACTGGTCAATCATACCAATGTTCACCTTGTGTTTGTAGGGATCCAGAGCTCCAAGCAGACCTAACACACGTATAGCCTAACAAAAGTGACAGAAGCACAACTTCAACTTAAAAATGGAAATGGTTTCATATTCTAGGGTACAAGTGCAATACTTTTTTTAAGCAAATTCCATCTTCTGTATAGAGTAAACTATTAAATATGTAAGAAAAAAATATGAACTAACATAAATGTAGCTATTTTAAGCACATTAAATGCATGTACACTCTAGTATTAAACAATTATCAATTATCACACAACAGTATCATAATTTATATGTTCTACTGATAACCACATTATAGTAACATTTTAATGATTTACCAAAAATAATTTGTAAGAAAATTGAATGAGATATATTTTGCATACATCCTTGTATGCAAAAAGCATAAATTCCCCCATTGAAAAAGTAGACTCACATTAAATGATCTTAATTTTTATATATAAAAAAAAAATTATTGATTACATTCATCAAGCTAAAAAAATCTCTATTGAAAAAAATATATATTTTATCAAAACCTACAAACCAACATTTGGTCCCAAACTATTTACCCCCTAATGAGTAACCGGTGATTTTATGCTAAATGTGTAACCCCATTATCCATTCTTATTTTTTATTTATTTATTGCACACGTTTTCTCCCTTTTTAAGGTTAATCAATGATCATTGCTAAAATTATAATAATAAAATAACTAAAACCACTAAACTTTGACCTGAGGTGGAATTTCCTACATTGAACCCAAATTCATGGAATGTGGCATTGAATGACAAGAATAGAAATCAATACCTCTCTCCTAATCCCCTGGTTCTGTTCTGTCTTCAGGAAGTTGAGTAGCACCTCCAGTAGAGATGGGTACTTCCTGTATGGCTCCACCACATACCCTGTACTGGCTACTTGTTGACCCAAAGTCCAAAGTGCCACCTGGTGGGACAGAAGACAAAAGAGTGTTATTGTGCATTTTATTTATGATTACCAAATATTCATTATAAGTGTTTGGCTATCATGATGATTTTAATAGGTTTTGTGTTTGGTCTGTGACATTTGTGAATGCTGAATCATTAAATTCCTACACTATCTTTTCCCAGTATTTCCTGACAGTGTATGAGAAATATATATTGTTGGCTATAAATGACAGTGGAAAACATGTTACATCATTTTTTATTTGATTTTACTGTTTTATTTCTCCATATATTAAACATTGAAACTATTCTGCAACAGTTAATTTGTTGAAATTATGGTTTCTCTGAGAGAAACTAAAAAGTAAATAATTTCTAAACATAAGATAATAAATATCATCAAAATAATTAAAGATATCCAAATATTTTTTAGCAACATTGGTCAGCTTTATGTGGGAATATTAAAAGTGCACTCTGTCTGTCGAAATCTACTTCCCACCTAGGTGAAAATCCGTATGTGGAATGAGTTAGTATGTCCAAATTCATAATATTTATAAAACAGATCGGGAGAAAGTACTAAAAAAATCTTCGCCGAGATTCTAAAGTGTGCATCCAATAGAAACTTTACTATCCCATGAGTAACTTTACTATCCCTGACGCTGTAGATCACATGAAAAATACACATGGTGGATATAATGTATCTGGATTTCATTCCACATTCATACTATATAGAACAGGGGTCTCAAACTCAAATTAACTGGGGGCCGCTGGAGATAGAGTCTGGGTCAGGCCGGGCCACATCAAGTATTCCACAAAAAAAAAAAAAAATGTATTTTAAGTATTCCAAAAATGGAGCACAACTGATCCAATCTTCTCAATCTTTATTATTAACGTTTCTTCTGAACTGTTCCTCTGAATTTGAACATTCCTTTCTGTACATGATTGGTTCTTCATGAGCTGTCCTTCTGACAGTTGACAGTTTTACAAACTTTCTTTGTCTTTTTCTTATACACAACATCTTTGGTGATAGTCATATTTGCTTTTTATTTTCTTTATACAACACTATTATATTGATTTTTTTTCCAAAAGGCACATTTCCGTTTATTATACTAGAAAAAAAATTACTGCTTTTGAAATACAAATAATTCTTTCTACACATGTATAGTGTCTCAGGCAAATTACTGACTTTGCACATATCAAAGCAAACCTTCTTATCAACCATTACATGAACTAGTTCAAAGTTCAATTCACAAATTTTAAAATGAACTAGTTCAGTTCATATTTCAAAAATATACAAAATATACATATCACAACCCATATACAACCACAGATAACAATAATTTTGTCGACGGGCAAAGTTTACACAGACATGTAAGATTTTCCCATCCTCACCGACCTCATAAAAGCCTTTTAAATGATCATACGACGCCTCCTCGCTCCTCGGTTCACAACCACTTGAATGAACGAGTTCACTGTAACGTTCATCAGGCAGTAATAGTAGGCTACGTTCAGTTCACGTTCGCCCAAAATATGAACGAGTTCATTAACTATCGTTCATTGAACGAGTTTAGACACAACACATATTACAAGCTCAAAATGATTATTCTCACATTGTTTTAGAGCAGGGGTATCCAACACGTCGCTCGCGAGCTATTAGTAGCTGTGGCCTGATTTGGTGGTGGTAGCTCGCCTGTTCACATATCGCGCTCACATATTTTGCACGCTCAAGTACGTTTCAAATGTAGGCGCGCATCAAGCGCCGAGCGCGCTCATAATTGAAGCGACGGGCTCATTTTTTCCAGGCGCAGTATATTTGTACTTCGTGGTTGTCTATGACAACTATTGACAACAAACCCACGGTAAGCTGTCACGAGACTATATGGTAGCCCATAAGGGATAAAAATAATAATAATTTTAAAAAACGCGGCAAACGGGCCGCACTAACATTAAACTTTAATATCAAGTAGGGGGCCACAAAATATCATCCCGCGGGCCGCAAATGGCCCGCGGGCCGCGAGTTTGAGACCTCTGATATAGAACATACGTTTTTAAGCTTGTTCTTCATTAAATGTAGTACTCAGACAGAGTATTAGATTTCAGATAAATTTTTTGGTTCACTGATACTGCAGTCATTTTGGACTTGCAGTCATGGTACTGAAACCATGACACCAACCTCATTGAAAAGCTTCCTTCCAAAGCTGCAAATTTAACTTTGTGCCAAATTGGAATATCTCACAAAACACTGCAAATAAAGCACTGTTTTTCATCCCATGTATTCAAGAGAACAAAATTCCTGGAAAAATGGTGCAAAATATCTGTAATAAAACTGGAAGTTGCTGTAATTGGTGAAGCCACTGTGGCTTTGCTTCCCTACATAAATCACTTGCGTCTCATAGTGCACAGACGAAACGCAATAAACGCTGTCATGTTATCTTGCGTTAAGATGTCTGGTGTTTGGGAATGCAATGATGTGAGAGACTTCTGGGAGGGAATTACCACAAATCATTTTGATGACAAACTGTCAAACAATCACACCCACTGTTAAGGCAAAGTCACAAGTTTTTTGCTGCATATCGAGGAATTTAGCCGGGTAAATGTATTTTACTACAAATGTATATTTTCTATGTACTGTAAGTTTTTTATGTGTATTTTTAGTATTCTTCTTGTTCCATCCAGCATTTTTGAATACAATATATCAAATTGCGCATAAAAATAGTTGAAAACGGCTATTGTCAGAGGGGCTACTGAGATGATATGAGCTGTTTTCAGCGGGTCATCTGATCTCAACATGCTTGTCTTCATGAGGTTACCTGCTACTTGTACATTTTTTTATTTTATTTCATTAATCTACTGACAGGACTGGAGCCTTTATCATGCGAGTGTGCATTATTTTAAACCTATTTAAACAAAAGTACTATACTATTTCTTTTTTTTTTTTCTTTTTTTTCAAATAAGGAAATATCACTGAGTGCTCTTTTAAGCTGTTTTATTGAGAAAATGACTTTTAAAGATTGACTTCTAAAAAGACAAATAAAGCCCCAGACACAGTCCAAAGAAGGTAAAGCATTTAGTTACATGAGCTTCTGTGAACCTCAGGCAACCTAAAACATCCAAACTACAACACCCCTGATTGCTAAAGCAGAATATCACAACGTCACACCAAGAATGAAAGCCTTGTGTAAAAGTTTTGTAAATGTTGAAGACATCTGACCGCACCTCATAATGGGACTATAAAACCTTTTAGACTCAAAGTGTGCACTCTAGACTGCCTCCAAATATTATTGAAGTATGCAAGTATGTCAGAATGTTTCCATTGTTGTTATGGAGAAGGGAAAGTAAAGTGCCTTTAATTACCCCTAATGCTTTGCAAAGGACAAAATCCAAACTGCTTCAGAGGCAAGAAAATATATGTGCATAAAAATATAATTTTTTTGTTGTTGTTAATGTTTTAAAAAAAACATTAACATGTTATTAATGAGTTTAAAAAAAAGTTTCCATTCAAACCATGTCTCTCCTTTACCCAAAGGTAAGGCAGCTTACTTTTTCAGGCCTACAGATTGTAGGCCTGAGAGAGTTCAAGAGATTTCCACGACACATGCGCGAGAACTGAACTGAAGTAGTTGAAGGAGATCACAATTCTCGCGCATGCGTCGTGGAAATTTCTTGAACTCTCGTCTCAGGCCTACAAGGAAGAAAAGGAATAGTCGAATAAAGTCGTTATTTTTGTTTGTTTTTTCGAACAAAAAGTATTCTCGTCGCTTGATAAACCTATACTTAAGCCACTGTTGTCATATGGAATATTTAAACATTTTCTTCATTGACTTTCTGGGCCATCAAGTTTCGATCCCTTAGGCAGCCTATCCACCTCTCAAATTTAGCAGTGATCCACCTCTCAAATGTAATCAAAAATATCTTCATTTGTGTTCCGAAGATGAACGAAGGTCTTTAGGGGTTGATACAGCATTAGGGTGAGTAATTAATGACTTAATTTTCATTTTGGAGTGAACTAACCTTTTAATATATGGTCAATAATTTAATAAAGAGCAATTCTTGAAATATAACATTGAAGTTATATGCTATGTACGGCTCACTAGCCGTGTTTCCGCTGTCTGGCCAAAAGTGAGCGTGTTAGTGCGTGCCAGGGCCCGTCACGGTCACTTTAGGGGCACTTCAGGGCCCGCCGAATACCTTGGTCAAAAGCGGGTCAAGTGGGGCTTGAGGAGTGGTCATGAACAAAGGCGGAGTTTATTGGAGCAGAAGACAACACTGGAAGTGTTCAAGGTCAACACTGCTGCACATTTCCCATGTTATCATACCAGGCTACCAGCTAACTTCAACATTTTAAACAATTTTCAGCTCAAAACTCACTTTCAGACACCAGCAAGTTTTTGAAATTACATCCTTCTGATACGATAGCGATTCTGATCACCATATGAGGCAGACATTTATTTATTTGGAATGCTAAAGGATACTTATGCGTACCCATTGCAATAATAAATGCAAGTTTATGAAAAATACCAGCGACTGCTTGAAGAATGTAGACAATTCATGTAGACAAGATAATCGTGTAAATAATCGTGTATTTATTTCAGTTTAATGTTTTACCTGTCTCTTCCTTGTGGCTTTATTGATACCGGACTAATGCATCTGTATATTTCAACATAAAAACATGCACTCCTGTTAACTTGTTTAACTAATAACTCCTGTTTTCTTCTCGTGAGCTCCATCTGTTGAAAATTAAAGGGGGGGGTTGACTGCTTTTTTTCTTTACATGATTGTGTTTATGGGGTGCAATATAACATGTATTTGTGGTTTTTCCTTTTTTTAAAAGTCTTATTTTTCATAAACTTCACCTTTATTGTCAGCCGTGCTCTCCTCAGTACCCTGAACGACCGGTCGACTTCCTGAGTCTATGAAACCACTCCCTCGGAAACAGGCACTGGGCTCAGATTGGTTAGTTTGGCCCGGTGTGTTGTGATTGGCTAAACTGTTGCTCACGTTGTCCGGAAGGTTAACACCCATTACCTTTACGGGCGAAACGTGCATGTCATGAGCTCCGGTCCAGATGTAAATATGTGTCGAACTGCAGTATCAGTTTGAGGCATAATCAGACCGAGAAAGCGGCGATGAAGAGAGTCAAACAGAACCTCACCACACACGGCTCTTACTAAACGTTTCTGAATGATAATTTGCTACATTTTTTAACTTTATACACGTTTGTTTTACACAATAGCATCTCAAACAGCGTTGGCAAGTTCACGTTCTTGATCAAATCGGAAATAACGTCATAAAACATATACACAAGAAAAATACATTAACAATATTAGTACGTATACAAAATTCAGGTCCATAATGTTTGCGTTTGTCGTAGACACAAAATAGCATAACTACTAGCCTAGTGGCTATAAAGCCAGCGCTGGCATTTAACAAGGCTACGTCTGGAATTATACATGCAAATACATTTAAAATGATGAAGTCTTAGCCTACTTACAGGTTGTGGCCCAACAACTGCTGCCTCTTGTTTTAAAGTCGGAACTGCTTCATGTTTTAGTAACAGTTTCTTGTTGAATTGAACTTGTCGGCATTGAACTCGTGGAGATTCTGGAAGCTGTCTTCCGTAAAATGCGCAGCACAGAGAGCTAGATTGCGATCGTCATTTTCAGGAACATAATCAAACATAAATAGTATCCATTGTTGACAAAGTACAGCGTCCGTGGGAAGCTCGAACACAGAAGACCTGACAGCTGGGTGAACATAACACACTCGACGTGCCGCAGAAATATGCCCATGCCCTTTTTTTCATATTCCGGAGGGAGGGGTTGATGCAAATGTGTGCGTTAGTGACGTCTAAAACCCAGCTGTAGTCCCAATCGAGTCGTTTTTGTAGGCAATATACTTCCTGATTTTTAAAAGACGATATCTCTGCTTACACTGAACTTTCAGCACTGCAACTTTGCAGATACTGTTCATGCACCAACAGCAACATTACACACTATTTAAAATGAAAAAAGTGAAATCGCAGTCAACCCCCCCTTTAATAAAGGCTAACGTTTTCTAAAGAAATGTATGTATGTAATGTAAACATATTAGGGATGGGACGATAACCGGTTTCGCGATAAACCACGATGAAATATACTGACGGTTAGTAATATCGTTTAAAATGTAATTATCATTAAAACCGTGATTGATTATCGCGATTTTAATAACACACTGTAAATCCTATCGGCCAGTCTGACGCAGCCGCACGCCGCACGCAATGTTTACTTTTCGAGAAGGAATGGCGGAAGGCAGTGACCGTGCTTGGGAGATTCAGCTTTTTAAGAGGACCAAATCTGAGGAGTGGTCATAGTTAGGCTTTTACAAAAGTCCTGAGGGAAACTCGATCGAGGATAGTCACCCTGTCTGCAGAACAAAAAGTCACTGTCCAAAAGAAACACTTCAAATCTGCCGAGTCGTCTTCTTGTGTAACCATCACCCGCTGTTGTATAGCGAACGCAAGGCAAGTTAACTTTGACCTCAATACCAAAACTACGTCTGGGAAAATATTGGGCACGAAATGTTGTTTTGAGTTTAAACATTTTATGTCACTCACTTGAAATAAGTGAAGCTTCCGCGAAGAAAAGTTTGCAGCAAGTGTCTTTGAGCCAAAAGACGAACGAACATCTTCAAATAAGATTATTATTAAGAGTGACGTTTTAAGGGATAGTAATGTATAGATACATCACGTATTACACCGATTTTATTTTTACCACATAATTACGAGGACATATTGAATTGATAATGAGTTTAGCTAATGTTTTAAATCTTACCCGTTTATAAATTCATTTAGTAAAACAATCGTCCAGACAAGATGATCACACCAATATTATCAAACTCTGTAAACAATAAATGAACTCTGATTTCATTTTCAAAACAATCAAAAACTGGAGACACAAGATGGCCGGCAAGTTGTATTTGAATGAAACGAGCGCGTGTCCGTTGTGATATTGATGTGCGCTGTGTGTGTGTAATAATGCGTTGCTATTGACGTCAGGCATTATAAAGAAGGAAATGCCATAGAATAGAATCTTGCTTAAAAAAACTGCATAGAGAGGCTTGTTTTATTTGTTGTTTGTTGATTTTCATTTATAAAACTTGTTGAAATGTTTTCAGTGTGAGCATCAGTTCTTTTTGAACACTTTCATCTAATTTTAACAAAACCGTGATATTGATAATCGCGATAATTTTGGACACTATAATCGTGATATGAAATTTTCATATCGCCCCATCCCTATTTAATCTTAATATTTTTGTAATTGTGTAAGCCTTTGAACTTCCTGTGCATTCCTGTGAACAAATAAATGAAATTAGGTGCAACTGAATAGGTATGTGTTCTTTTATGTTAAATGGTAAATACCGGTTTGATTCAGCATGATTAATGTGCACTCCCGACACAAATGAATAAATTACGGTCACTGAAAACAAAAAAATTGTAAAACATGTCAAATATCAATTCTGGAATCTTTAAGTAAAGACTTTGCTTCTGTCATGCTCATTTTGCGATCGAGATTGTTTTCAGTCAGTTGGTAAAATGATGTCGTTCTATGGAGGCGTGTTTAAGGCAGGCTTTAGAGCTGTGCTGCGGGGCTAATGGCCAGACAGTGGAAACTGAACTTAATTTTGAGCTCGGTGCTTGAGGTCCTAGGCTATTGGCCCTCCTGGCACATCTTAAGCCCTGGCTTGCAGTGGCCCGACAGTGGAAAAGCGGCTACTAAGGTTAATGAAACTGCCAAATCTCAGATCACACTATCAAACAAAAAAATATAAAAATACAAACATAATGTAACGATGGGCCTAAAGTTTAACATGGAAATGAGCAAACCTGTCGCTTGGCTAAAGAAGATGAGTCCTGCAGCATGTCCATAATGATGGGGAACAGCTCATCCATCCATTTCCTCATCTCCAGTCCACTCACCTGGTACATATTAAAGAAAGGGACACGATTGACAACATTTCAACTGAACAAAATCAATGAGCTTTCAGGGTTGACTTTTTGAGTGTTGCATCATTTTGAATGTGAATCATCCAGGTGGCTGTAGTCCATTGTTTAATACCAAACGTAGTAGGCATAATAAATGTCACCATTTATCTGCTTTGGAAAAAACTATTCGCTCTTATGGCCATTGCACAGTGAGTCCGAAATTCGCATCCGAAATTTTCGCACGTTAAAAAAAAGATTCGACCTCATGTTATGTCAATCACGCTTGCACACCACCTACGAAACTTTCGTCCGTCATAAAAAAATTCGGATCGGGTTCGATTTTCTGCATTTTTCGCATCCACAGCCAGCATTTTCAGCCAGCATCAGCCGAGCTCGTCCTATGGAGCTTGTTCCGCACATCATATGCGCAGTGCTTTTAGTTTCAGTTTTCAATTCGATCAAATGTATGTTCTCTTCTCTCGATTGGATTATGAAAGGAAAAACCTCCCCTTTCAATCAGATTGAAATTTCGGATCGATTAAGGTGTGCTTGAGAAGCCAATTCGATAACTAATGTATTATTTGGGTACAATATATAACCTGTAGCCTACAGTATACAGCTATTCTGTCTGCCCAGTACCCAGCGCTTCCACCGAGCCGCGCGCGCTTGTGTGTGTGTGTGTCTGTGTGTCCATACCTTAGACATACTGACAGTCTCTGTTCAGGATCGATTGGTTCACGGAAATTGGTGGTCTTGTTTTTAAAATATGGCTCCAGAATCGCAAGCAAAGCATCAAACTGTTCCACTGACATTCTGAGGTAAATTTTGAATCGCTCGGGATAAATCCGCAACTCCTTGATAAGGAGGTGCTTCCTCTCGGCGCAATTTCAGGATTGGATGGACGTAATATTTTCTCTTTCTTCTCTTTTCAAAGACAGAGAGAACAACAAAATCATTCTCACTGCTTGACGAATCCATTTTGTATTTTTTGCGTTTTTTTCCGTGCAAAGGTTTAATAAATACGCATCGGACTCAGTGTGCAAGGTTTCTGTGCTTGACGAATTTTTAGGCTGACGAACACGAAAAAACGCATACGAAAATTTCATACTCAGTGTGCAATGGCCTTTACACTTAATCCCTTTTCTCCAACCTCCTCCTCAACCATTGTCCAAAAACATTAACTCTCTATGTTTTTCGTCTCAACAGAGCTACACTAACCATTCTCCTGAAAGTTTCCTAAATATTGTGCAGCACTGAGTAGGAAGTAGACATGGTTATTTTAAAGATACTGTAGATGATGTCAAAAGATCAGCCTAGAAAATGATCCATTACCTGGGCTAGTTCTCCAATGGTAGCTAAAACACTGATAACGACTGCAGGGTTTGGATCGGGATCTTTCAGCTTTAAGATGAGGGCCTGTGTGAAGAACAAAATTGGAACCCAAACATTTAGTCACACTTTCAGACCATCACAATATCTACATCCAGAAAATGGACTGGTAAGTTATTAGATATGGGAATCATAATGAATTAAAAATTTACCTCATTATGAATTAAAAATGTAGTATAAAGCACTATTAATAGCAACAAAACTATACTGAAAAAAACACGTCGTCACATGAACGAGACAGTAATTAATCCACTTTGCAAAAAACAACTGACCAATCCTACATTATATGCTGACCATATTAAAGCTTTGGTAAGTTTTTATCTTTTCTAATGAAAGTCTGTGTTTATCAAGTTTTATAAAAAATTGGGTTTAACAAAGTTAAAACATTGTTTACAGGGCACTTTAAGAAAATGAATATTGATTCTTGAAAATTCATGCTGTGGATTAAACTGTGAAAAGTTTTCATTCTGAAATTGGAACACTAACATTTTGCGAATCTCAACTGCAGAAATTATTTTGGCTATTTTCCAAGTACAAACAAACTTCTTGTTACAAAATTTCACAACACATTTGACAACATCCCTAAAACACATGCAGAGGTATTAAGGACGTGACTGTACCTTGAGAATGGGTTCCATGTATGGGCGGATGAGTCTGGGGGCATTAGACACCAAGTGACCCAACATGCGGGCACTTTGCTCTTTGTTTCGGCCCACACCGCTATGTTCCAGCTCAGTCAGGATCTGGACAACATTTTATTGCATTGGACAGTACCGAGGCATTATTCAGTGTAACTACAGACACATTCATAACAGATGTGTGTCAAAATAATTAATATTTGATATAAACAGAGACTGTATTATATTATAATAAAAACAAATAAAACAATAACTCTTCTAATAAGAATGTAATAGCAGCACACTTAACATTAAAGGTTTCCAAGCAATATGAAATCTGTATAAGTTGCTAGCCAACAGTTAAGTGAATTTGTTGAGGTGCCAGGGAAAACACAGTTAAGTGAATTTGTTGAGGTGCCAGGAAAAACAGAGTCAGACAAGGCTGACTAGAGCTATGGTGAAACAAAACAGCTGCTATTTCAGCAGAAAAACATTTACTCACTGCCATCTGTTGGTAACGGAGATGAAGTAAAGTCATAGAAAGAAATGGCTAAAACTCCTCGTAACAACTCAGTGTTTAGTATGAGTATATTATTATAACCTACTACATTTGGCAAAATGTGCAGTTTAAAAAAGAGAACATTGTGTAGAATAGTGTATCCACACAATCTTTAAAATCTCTATTTTAACTAATATTATTGGTCGTCCGAGACTGAAGACATCTTTACACTAAATTTAGATACAGTAACTGTAATTCAGAAGTGATCTGTACTGAAGTACCTTTGAACCTAAAAATTTCCCCTACAAGAGGATAAATCTTTTTATTCATTATATTCATAAAATTATATTCATTTTAGATTTGTAGAAATGCCTTGGTTTATATTATAGATTACATATGATGTATAACATATAACAATTAATAGAATTAACATAGTTTTCTGAATGTATTAACTATATGTTTAAAGTCATTATTTAGACAAACTCACAATACAAAAAAAAATATTTTGAAAAATCTATTAACTCCAATTTCACGTGGTTTCTGCAGGTATTCACAAGATAATGTACATAAATATTTCTCCATTTCAGCGAGTTGATTTAATATTACTATAAAACTACAACAACTTGAGTAATGCAACAATTTTCTTATTTCATGCATATTTATATACAATCACAGTTATGCTAATATACAATCACATTAGTACTAAATGTCTTTTCAAGTGAGTTATTTTTAAAATGCGCTTTAAATTACAGTCACTTATAATTACAAATTAGTTACTTTATAATAATGATATGTTAGGTTTGTGTAAAAAGTTATTCTTAGAAATTCCAAGAAATACAATATAGTTATCAGCAGTTGTCCTAAAATTTTTACTTACTTTCAAGTGTCAAGTGTTTCTTATAGACACATGAAATACAAGATAAAATAAGTTGTGAGATATAGTGTCAAATGGCAATTTCAGTCTCAGGCCAAATAACAAGACAATATCACTAAGGCTTGTGTTGTTTAATACATTTAAGAGATGCTTTTCTCCAGCGCACAACTTACATTTTACCTTTATTTTATATATTCTATAAATGTTATGAATTGAAATTCATGCGTATATTTCAATTTTGCAAAACAATTTGAAATAACAGCAACAGAGTCATTTTTCAACTTTATAAATGGAGAAAAATAAGTGCAATAAGTTAATCTAAAATAATATGCATTTTAAGCAAATATTTGTTGTTGGATATCAAATTTACACACTGATTAGAATTGTTTTAGAATTAGAACACCATTTGGCTGTATTTTTGTATTATCGCTAGTATTATTATTAGTTCTGATTTTTATTTTTTAATGCTGGTGCTAACACATCAGCTGTTGGTGATACCATCTGTACACTCTCACATGTTGGGAGCACTGAATATTGAAAATATATAAGAGTAGTATGAGTATGGTAGGATGCCATTTCAAACATAGCCATGTGCTGTGAAAAATGTAAATACCTGAATAAGCATCTTGCGCAGGAAGGGCATGACAAAGGCAGGGTTCATACTGCTAAGACGGCCAATAGTGCAGATGGCCAGTTCACGAATCTCAAACACTTCATCATTTAGTGCCACAAACAGAGCCTGGAGGTTCTCCGCTTGTGCCAGGTGGGCATCAAAGCGTTCGTCCAGGGAGGCCAGCACACAGTATCGAATATCAGGATCTGAGAGGAAGCCACATGTACAGTGCACAGCATAAATGAGTATACCCCCTCTGAACTTACAATTTAGCAATTTCTCTTCACAAAGAATATTTTACATCTTTACAAATCCGGTAGATCAATTACAAAAAAAGCATGTCAATATTAAAGAGGAAAATAAGATTTTTTTTTTTTAAGTGATAAAACATTGTCTTGGAAAAATGAGTACATCCCCCAGAAGTTACACAAATAAAACAAGTTAAAGGAAAATGTTTGTAAGTAAAGTAAAAAATAAAAGTAGGAGCACTTTCTTAGTTACGTATCTGTTACTGAAACATTCTTAGATTCATGCTGACAACAAAGAAACATTGATGAGAATAAATGGTCATCTTGGGATTTATGTACGGAATGGGATTTATTTAGCAGAAAAATGCTGAGCAAGTGTCTAAGAGCTGGCGAAAGCTTTAAGAAGAGTATCGACTATTTCATCTCACAGCAGTGAAATACATGGTTGTTGTCCAAAAGTATCTAAAGTACTCTCTCTTCATTTCAAGCATTTTGGATCGAACAGCATCCAAAATGTATGTCGTTGTAAGAGGGAGGAGTACAGTGAGAAGTGGCTGGTCCTCACAGGAGTTAGGAAGCGATGAAAAAACGCAAGGGTGCACAAATAAGAAATGAGTAGCACCCATTAACTCTATTCTCCCAAAGTAAGAAGTATTTCACCTGGCCTTAACACTACTGAGCACCATTTTGTAGAGACAAGTTGAGCAACACTTCCCATTAAACAAGGAAGTCATCCTTGAGGAATTAATGACGAATGACATTAGGAATCATTGCTTAGGTTTTATTTTTAACGGTAACCCAAAAGTTATTTTGTGTACAGCGCATTTTATGGAGTAAAGCTTCCTGAACTTGGGAGAGTACAACGCCGGCACTACACAAGTCGTGCTTGCAAGGTTGCTTCCGATCGATCTGATTGATTATTCTCAGAATCTGACTCGGGCTTGAACTGATATTGTAAAACCAACGACAATAACTGTTTGCCGTTTACAATTGCTTAAGAAGCCATGGAAGCTGAAGCTTGTGTTATGGAAAAGGGGCTTTGTAGAAACTGGAACTCAAAGTGTTTCAGACAAACTGGGAATAGAGTTACTGCAACAATGTAAAGTACATGAAAATTAATGTGTTTTTTGAATATTAAAGCATGTTAACCTATTCTAATACACCCAATAATCATGATGATGAACTTTTCAAATTAGCATTATATGACACCTTTAATAATTTAAACTATTAACAGAACCCCAGATTATATGTATTAAACCTTACTGGCCAAAACTCAACTTAATGTAATTCTATTTCTTAAGTCTTCTAGTTGTTCATTTTCTCCACTATGCAACCCGTTTTCATTAAATTTATGGTATAAACCTAGTTGCACACAGAAATGTGTATATACATAATCTATAAGCTAACATGCATGGAAACAGCTGTGTCTCTCACCTGGGTCAGTGATGCCAACCACCAGTAACTTGCTGAGAACATCAGCCACCACCTGCACAGCGGTTTGACTGACCACATGTCCATGTCCGCTGATCAGGTGAATGGACGGGGTGAGCAGCCGTGAGCAGGTACGTGCTGCCTCCATGCGGATCTCCTTGTGCTCGCTGTTCAGAAAGTGGTCAGCACAGTGGCGCACAAACTGGGTCAAGGAGTGACCTAACAATTAATAAAACAGGAAAGAAAAAAAACATATTTTCTAAAGAAAATGTAAGTGATCAGTTGAGCACAATTAGATATAAATATTATAAGGTAATACATATGCCTTACAGGAAATAGGGTTCAGAGTTGTTTTTCTATTTTTATATTTTGCTTAAAATGACTATCTACTAAAAACAAACAAACATTGTACAATACATAATAATCTAAATGCCTTCATCATGAGCAGAAAAACTAGAAATTTCTAAGTTTTTGTTGTCTTTCCATCAACAAAGAATTTTCCCCAATTATAACAATCATGTGTGTGTGTGTGTGTGTGTGTGTGTGTGTGTGTGTGTGTGTTTTTTTAATGCTCTTACATGCTGATTAATAATGCTAAATCTAGAACGTCATGTCACAAACCTGGTTCGAACAGTCAGAGTCATATATGCCAGATAAAAGTACTGTATTTGCAGCATTGCTGTTTTCTGCTAGCCTGGGTTTCCTATCTATGAAAATAAACATGAGGTTCCCAGACCACGTCTCAATGTCAATGAGACGTGGTCTGACGTTAGCCAGGCTAGTTTTCTGCAGTGTTTTAGCAAAAGTATCCATCTATTTTACTGATCACTGTGTTTCTACTAATGTTGTTAAAATAACCACGTCATCTTCAGCTCTTTCAGATGCTTTAGTGTCTTTAGCAAGGGAAAACAACACGCATGGAACGGAAAGAGCTTGAATAAAGTGATTTCTTTTCTGGATAAAATTATTAGAGCATACAGTGCCGAAAGTTCATTTGAGCACACCGTTGTTTTGACATGCCACTCACTTTAACTGGAAATGGTAAAATGGTACAACAGTGACAATTATGTGAAAAATATATGACGATTATGTCTCACGGACCAGTTGGAACTAAACCAGGGTCTGAACCCGGATCACGGTCTGCCATTTGATTTTTTCTTTAACTGTCAACTTTCCAGGAAACAATTTGTATGTTCTTTATAGCAATAACTGTTTTATCCAGACTATCAAATCATCACGATGATCATTTTTTCAGGTTGCTCCTTTGCGCTTAAATAATTGTATACTGTTCTGAAGAATTGAATACAGTATTGTATACTGTTTTAGGCATGCCTTATGATGGAATACTAGTTATTGTAGTATATACCTCTATATCTTGCAGCCTATCAAAATCATCTTTGTTTAACATTGGTGTATATCTCCTCCTTGAAATGCATTGTATGCTTGTTATATTAATAAGACTAAAGGACACAAAACTGCCAGCCCACTCTGATCATGCAAACGAGTCAGCTTCCAAACAAAAAAACTTTTCCCACTTGAAAATTACAGTTTTCTCATTCAAGTCAATTTCGAGAGGTGTGACCTTCACAGAAGTTTAAGGGCACTGTTTTAGTGCTCTCCACATTCCGCCTCCTTCTGGTGGCTCTTCTTGTGAAAAGAGTGGCAACATCCGGCCTAATTGAGGGACCTTTCTCCCAGTGAGCAAGTAAGCAAGTAAGTAAGCATAATCACACTGTGTTTGCTCTTTGGCTAGATGACAACTGGCCCCCAGACTGAGTCTGGTTCTCTCAAGGTTTATTTTCCCCATTCTTTCACCTGATGAAATGTGGGTTCCTTGCCACTGTCCCCTCTGGCTTGCATAGTTGGGGTCACTTAATATTCAACAATATTATTGATTTGACTGAACCGACACTATTGGAAAAGATCTAAACTGAGCTGGACGATGACATAACTATTTTCTGCAAAAGTACTTTAAAGATGACATTAACTAATTAAATAATTAATGATCTTTACACTGGAAGTAAATCAACACTGACTTCAGCTGAACAATGACAGTATTTTCTTTTAGAGCTGCTGTACAGCCGAAATGAACTGTGTGCATCATTGAATCATTTCCCTGTTATCACTATAAAGCTGCTTTGAAACAATCTGTATTGTATAAAGCACTAAATAAAAAAGGTGACTTGACTTGACTACAGTAGGTGATAGTCCAGGTTACTAGAAACTTTCAGGCTGGTGTGTGGGGATAAGGTTGTAGTAAAACTTTGCAGGACATTGGTCAGCAAAAAATATCTCTGCCCTTGACCCATATGTGCCTTTTAAGACACTATTAATGAAAGTACATAATTAATAGTAGATTTTTTGGCAAAATGTATAAATAAACTGAAAAGAAAATGACATTTTAACCTAAAGTGTCATCTAAAGTGTCTAGTACCTTCAAATTCAAAGCTGCCAAGAGTACGCAGTGCCAGGGTGATGCTGCCCACATCACTAGCTTCAGGGATGTTGGTCAGGCTGGGTGATGCTAACTGGTATGCCAGGCCCTTGGGCATACCTGGGTGACGCAGAGGCTTATGCATGAGCACAAGTGAAAGCATCTTTAGCAGACCGTCCTGAATGTCCTTCTTCAGCTGTGGGATCTGCCTGCTCAGGTCGTAAAGTACTGCGGTGAGAGCAGGACTAAAGAGAAGAGAGGGATAGAATCAGACAGATGACAGGAAATTATGTCTGAATCTTCTGGCATGTAGATTTGAGGTCTGCACAGGACCCGAACCTGTTTGACCCGACCCAGACCTGAACGGTAGTGTTAAAGTTTAAGACTGAACCCGAAATCTCGCTGTAGCTTTAATTGGTTGAAACAACAAGATCATATCGTACAAGGTTTAAAACATAATAGACACTTCAAGTGGTAGAGACGCACAGAGACGGCAACACGGCTACATTTGACTACCTATGGCACTTTCTTTCATGTATATAGTTTGAACTCATTTATTTATCATATCGTACAATGATTTAAACATTTAAATACATATATCAAACAGTAGAAAATGTGTATGTATTTATGCATGTAGTGTATGTAGTTCTGGTCGATAGCAGCCTTTTGACAAAGTTGATTTCTGAGAGACGCAAGAGAAAAAAGGCTATTTGACTTCTGAAAGCACATGCTCATTTCATTCATAGTTTTCACTCATTTGTGTATCATAATATTGTCTATCATATCCCAAGGTTTAAAACATTTAAATATACATATCAAATAGTAGAAAATGTTTATATTGCAATATTTTATTGATAGAAGGCCTACTCTTGACAAAGCTCTGATTTCTGAGAGACGGTAGCGCAGCTATTTGATTTCCACTGCGCTTAGTTTACACTCATTCAATTCACACACACATTATTGCATAGTAATTCTAGAGATTTATGTATAATTTTGTGCTTTTCCTAAGCTCACCTGTCAGCCTATTAGAGTACACGCTTAAAACAGTTCTGTTATTATATAAATTAATATTATATATATATATATATATATATATATATACATACATATATATATATATATACATACACACAGACCTGCCAACCTTGAAATTATTTTTGAGTAGTATCAGTGAGGGTTTGTTTGTGTGCGTCTTGCATTGTCTCAAAAAATTATGACAAAAATAAAAAAATACTTAATTTATTTTTTCATGGCAATAACCAAATATGATACTAAATACCACAAAAAAGGGTTTTAATTTGTGACGTCCTGTCTTTGCATTTGAACATTGTACATTTTTAGACAAATCCGACATGAGGCTGTGTTAAAGGTCCCGTTCTTCGCGATTCCATTTTCCAAACTTTAGTTAGTGTGTAATGTTGCTGTTAGAGCATAAATAATACCTGTAAAATTATAAAGCTCAAAGGTCAATGCCTAGCGAGATTTTATTTAACAGAAGTACCCTTTCAAAGCATACAGCGAACGGCCTGTTTGGACTACATCCCTCCATTCCCCTTTTTTAATGACGTAACTAGAACAGTTTTTTAACCAATCTCCGCCCAGAAGAATACAAAAAAGGGGGCGTGGTCTTGTTGCACTCCCACGGAGAAGAAGCACTTCAGATGCGCATGCATCTCCAATTTATGGTAAGAGGCGTGACCTTTCCGGGTAACATGCGATAAGCTGCTGTCGAATCACAACACAGGAACCACTGGCACAATCAGAACTCGTTACGTTTTTCTGAAGGAGGGACTTCATAGAACAAGGAAGTCATCGGGCCGTTTTTTGGACAGTGAAAACAGCCGTATACAGATACCGGTAAGTAAATTGTGTGAAAAATACTGTGTTTTTTTACACGCGAAACATGAACACGTTTTATTGCACACTGTAAACACAATCAAAGCTTCAAAAAAGCATGAAGAACGGGACCTTTAATAGTAAAACATACATAATTTAACAAATTTTAAAAACATGGATGGATAATACAAAAATGATTTCTGACAGTTTGACAGAAAAAAAACACAACCAAGAATAAAATTTAAACTTAGTCCGTCAATTTTGGTTTTACAATTATCTTCTCTCTGTGTGCGCGCATCAGTGCTCGGGCTTGTGCAGTTCTGATACAATGCTACTTTTTAATCCATAAGTAACTAACGTGCTAGTTCATACAAAATAAATAAGTAACATAATTAGGTAGGCCTAATTTAGTTGTTTCCAACACAATGACGTAACACATGCAGGCTTCGTTTCTCAACACAGAGAATTAATAAATAATTGCCTGTTTCTCCAGACTCGCGCTTCAGTAATTCACAAATCACAGAACTTTCATAATCACTAAGCCATAGTAAGCCATTTTTAATATAGTGAATGTGCAGGGAAACTCCTTTTCCTCGATTTACTGAAGCTTATATGTATATTTCAGACCCATTACACGACTTCCACCAATCAGATGCATCACTGTGGGATTGTTCAGGATTGTGGGTAATGAAGTACTTATCCAATACATCGCGAATAAAAGGCATTTATCTTAAATCAAGGTTAGTGCCCCATGAACTTTTGGCATTTATATGAGCATATACAATCACTTAGTACAGCCGTAGCTGGTTTTAAGTCTACCATGTATGGTTACGTTTTAATGGCCAACTGTCAATGGAGAAATTGTATTGAATTTTTACTTCCGGCACCGGCTGTGGGCGGGACTGTGATGCTCTTTTCAAACACACCCGCTTGCTATTTTGGGAATGAATGAACCCAGCACTATGATTGGTCAAACTCTGCTTATTTTGCTGTTGCTTAATTTGAGGACTGCGTGTGCACAGAGGCGTCACCAGGTTTTTGCGTAGTTTAAAGTGACAAATCGTACCAGCACACTTTGAGGTCAAAATGCATATCCGCTACACAAAATGCGTATGGGTTGGCAGGTCTGTATATATATATATATATATATATATATATTTCGGTCACAGTAGACGGAACTCAAGCCTTAACTACATATGAAGAGTTCAGATGCAAAAGCCTCTAAATGCCATTTGAAATTTTCTTCTAAAATGACAATTTTTATCAAGCTTGTATATTTAAGTTCAGTAATTTCACTTAAATGACAATTAATAGGTAATCTTCATTGCCATTCAAGTGAAATTACTGAACTTAAATATACAAGCTTGATAAAAATGATCATTTTAGAAGAAAATTTCAAATGGCATTTAGAGGCTTTTGCATCTGAACTCTTCATATAGTTTTTCTTAGTTACAAGCCCAAACCAGACTTGGAAGCGAAGTTATTCATGAAACATTAACCCAAACCCAGCCTGAAAGCTCTGAGTTCTCCGGGACACGTAGGGCTCGGGTCGGGTAGCAGACTTCTGATGTAGAATCCAAGCATAACGTTTTTGCACAATCAACTGCATTTATGTCAAGTAGTTTTATTAATAATAATAATAATAACTAAGAAAAAATTTTAATAAAACACTAACTCAATGTAGTTTGACTTGTACAGTACCTGAGACCAACTGCTAACATTGGCTCCAGAAGTTCTTTGACATCCTGTTGGATGCTAGGCCCCATAGCTCTGGACAGCATACTTATACAAGTAAACACAGTAGCATCCACCTGCATAGTCTTCTGTCTCCTAAAAGATTACAACACAGGAGAAAAAGAAAAGAAAAGACAATGTGTTTAGTTAAACAGTAACAACACTAGTACATTTGGAGTCATGATTTAACATATATATAATTTTATATTATATTATATATTATTTTATATTATTTTATATATAACTCTGATCATGTTGCCTGGCAATAATAAACATTGGACAGCAAACTCACTAACTTAATATTACTAAAAGTTGTACTCCTAGAAGTTGACGAAATGAAATGTTATCAGATTTTGTACTTGTTAAAATTTAGTATTTTGCTTCCAGGGAAATACAAAATGCTCTCTAGAATAAATACGCCCCCCATTCTGAAAATTATAAATACAGCCGGCAACCGAACATAGCAAACAATGCTAGCAAATTAGCAAAAAAAAAAAAGCAAATAATAAATCAGAGTATCTGACTCTTGGTTGTACTAACAGTTGTAATAAAACACTATGATAGTGGCTTCATTACTTTTGTCTATGGTACAAGCTGTCAAGTGAAAATGCTGTACATGAATAAAAGAAATAAACTGATCAATAGCCGATTGCAATTTTTTTTTATATAAATAAATAATTTAGCATGGATCATAACATTGCCATAATCTTTAAACAAACAATACATAATTTGAAGCTGTATGGTTCACCTGCTTAATAATCACTGTGTGCCCTCTTATTGCTTTCATTTTTTTGGCTTGGATCGGAGCTGCGTACTAAAGAAAGTTTGGACTTGGATGGTTTCAGATTCTTACTTGTGTGCAAAGTCTTTAGGTGGCAGTGCAGCTTTAATAATCTCCAGGATCTTGGTGAGGAAGGGCTGAATTTCGGCCCTCACAGCCACCACCAGCAGACCCAATGCTTGAAATGCTGCCGTCCGTTCCTTTTCTTTTTTCAGGCAGCCCAGCAGGTGTCCCATAGTGTCCTGCAAATACTGATCTGAGGGTAGAAGAAAAAAATACATATAGTCAATCAAAAAAAAGTAAAGCCAAACTATAGTATTATTGTAATATGCACAGTAGCACCACAATATATTAAAAAAATAAGCTTTGTTAAAAATAAAGTGTCATTGAATTAGAAAGACATTTAATTATTGATATCAAAAATCAGTTGGTGGGTTACCAGTAAAAATGTGAGGCTGGAAGGCAGCGAGTCGAGGCAGAAGGTTTAGGATAGTCATCTGGATTAGTGGATTCTTACTGGTCCTGTATTTCAGCACCCAACGGCACACCTGATACAACAGCAGAGCCATAATGTCATAACATTTGTGCAGTTTGTTCCATTCATCATAACACTATTCAGAAACAATTGCAACATAAAATTCTATTATAAATGCGAAAAGTTCAGAAACTGAAAATCATTTAGACAATATAGATCATTTCTGATTCATATATTAGCTCAAATTTGACAAATCAAAACATTTCTGAAAAAAAATTTAATCTTTAAATACATTGTGATTGAGATTGTACCAAGTGAGTTAGACAATCACCCTTTTTTGAATTTATTTATTTATTTTTGAGAAAATTTAGGAATTCTATATGACCATTTGATTCGAGGGTATTGATTCTAGCCTATACATTTATTCAATCATTGGCACACATGTACTTTGCTTATTATATCACTAGCTAGACTAAACGATTAATAACAGTTTACAGAACTTTTGAGGACATAATAAAAATTGTATATTTTCTTAAATTTAAAGGAAATCAAATATAAACAACAAATATAAACAAAAATATATTTTCTGCGGTTTTTCTGAACTCAAGAACCATTCAGTTAGAAAAGGACACTGCAAAAACTGTAATTTAAGGAACATCAAAGAAATTTCAAACAAACTAAAAATTCAAACTACCCTTTTTGTGCACTTTTATATATATATACTTGTGTATATATATATATATATATATATATATATATATATATATATAGCCTCAAAAGTGTGCAAAGACCATTTCAGTTTGTTTGAAATTTTTTTCAAGAGTTCACCTACAAAAGTTATTTAGTCAAGAGCAGTGACACACGTATCATTCTCTCACAACTCTTTACATTCATTTAAGACTTTAACTAATTTAAGACTGCTCTTATGTTACAAAACTGATATTTTGGCATAATTGTGTGTTATTGTTCGTTCAAGCTGCGAAAGAGAACTGTATTCTGGCATGCTGTCTGTGCACACGATACTGGCACGTCTTTCTGTGCGTCTTGTGTGTGTCACAAACAGGACATTCACAGGCAGCGCATTCTCTTTTGTCTTGTCGCGCTTGAATGGTTTAAAAAGCATTTGCATGAATAAAAGTGGGATCAAATAATGCAATGCAACCCAAAGAATGATAAAAATTAATGGATGCTGCTTTAATTGCGTTAAATATTTTAACGTGTTAAACTGGAAAAAAAGTAATCACATAAATTAATGCGTTAACAGCCCTAAAAAAATATAATAATAAAGAAGAATTTTGAAGAAAAAAAGCTATAGAAGATAAAAATGCTACAGTCTCTTCCAAAACAATAATTTCCTCTTCAATACAGTAATCAATACAATCACCTGGTCAAAACGCTCCTCCATCAGTTCTCTGCAGTACCGGCTCTCCACCAGCGTGCTTTTAGAGGGAACAGGTGCAGCTCCAAAACTTAGAAAGCCCTGTGGTGTGCTATATCCCAGCAGCCCCAGCAGAGCATTGGACTGCTGTGGCTGCACTGACTGAAAGCTGGTGAAGGGTGTGATGTGCCGAGGCTTAGTGCTGAAACCCATCAACTCCTTACAGTACTTATCATGAACCATCTGCTGCTGCGTGATCTCTTCCATCTCTTCTCTCATACGCTTCAGGAATAAAAGAACCAAAATCATTAATCAAATAAGTAAAAACATTGAAGCAATGAATAATGCCAAATGAGTGAAAGATCAAACAAAAAGAAAAATACAAAGAAACAAAAATAAACAAAGCAAGCAAAAACTGTGAACAAAAGTTAAATGAACAAACAGAAACAAACATTGCCGTGTAACTTGAGGTAATCATGTGTCATACTGTCCATAGCAGTGTCATACCTCTCCCTCCATACTACTTATTCGCACTAGTTCATTGAGAATGAGTAGAGCTCCATGCACACGGTCATCCTTATTCATGCCTTTCTCTTTAGCCAGAGTTTCATCAAAACCCTTCTCAGCTTCCTCAAATGTTTGCTGTTAAAGACAACAAAACACATAGAATGTGTGAGCGCCCATGATACACCCATAGCATTCATGCAAACATATTTGAAAACAGTTAAAGCTGTGATGATTCTGACCTTGTACCACTGTGGTTTCTGCATCTCTTTGGTCTCTCTCTGTGTGGTGAGGATCAGACAGGCTCTGAGTGCAGATACTGCTCCCTCACGAATGGCCTGTTTGGAGTCCCACACAGCATAGAAAATGTTATCAAAGAATGGTTGCACCTGCTGGAAGAAGAATGTAGGTGCGCTAACAGCGAGCTCTCGCAAAACCAGCACCTGAAACAAAAAGACAGTGGGGTCAGTGGAGTAACACAGTGGTCACTGAGATGAGATCACATAGACTGAGACAAAAATAACCAATAAAATTGAAGAGATTCTGATATAAAGTTTGTATTGCAACATATCCGTGGCATTAATCTAAAATAATCCTAGGAAAAATACTACTTTTAGTCTACTGTATCATATTTGATACGGAAATTTCTATGGCCTATAAATTATCAACATGATCAAAACTGCTGAAAACCACAAACCACAATGCTTTCTGTTGTCTGATGTGGTAGTTTATCATTTTTAGCAAGTTAAGCCTTTTAGTATAATTTTAAAATGACCCACTACAGGTTGTGGTACAGACATATTTTTGCTGTGAAATCTCTATAATATTATATTTTATGTTTATGTAAGTTTATGTAAGAATAACTTTTTTATTGTTCAATTTCAAGATGTACACAATAATCTGATCCAACTTAAGTTTACATGACTATCTATAAAATACTTTTTTTTAAATAATGTAAAATGTGAATATCAACTATGAAAGATCAAGCATTCGAGGAATGTTTGTTTGTACATCTCTAAATCATCATTGTATTGCATTGCATTACATGTTCGCAGCCCACAATAAAAACTACATAGCTTTAAATCATAACACTAAGCATTTAAATATCATCTTACTAAGACAAATTATTGTGAGAAATAGAGTGACAACTGATATGTCAATGGCTTTCATGTTGTCTACTATACTGTTATAAAGATCTCATTGTTTTACATTACAAGCTATCAGAATTTAATCTTATTTTTGGCAATGTGAATATATTTTCAAAATCGTTTCAGTGGTTCATCAAGTCATGGCATGGTGAAATGCACAGCCGGGTAGCTTTTGAATTGTCATCATGATTCCAAAGCCGGTGCTGGAAACAGAGAGCATGTGCATGCGTGCAACAGTAGGATGCGGTAGGCTAAATTATTTGCGACAGCAGTAATGGACAATTCCGCTTCCAAACTGTATGGCAACCGCAGAGGAAAAGTTACTTGATGTTGCTTTAACACCAGCCAACCCGCTAAAAGCAGGTGGATTTCAGCAGTGGCAGGTAACATTGTCACTCCTATTAGCCACTTTGGCTGGTCGAATTTTACATTGAATTTTGGTGTGGGATTGCGCATATTGTGCATCATTTTGCTGACACAAAGCCGTCTCTCAGTACTAAATTGAGTATTATTTTGCTGCTTATTGTGCTTTAAGTCAAATATACACAAAATAATGTAAAAAAAAATGCTGGTTTTGGCAAGTATTCACGTAAATACAGTCAGTTCTGTTTTGAATGAACATAAACAGCAGAGAAAGAAAATACATGTGTAACAGTATAATGAATCTGTGTGCCAGGTCTTAAAGTGACAGCAGCCTAATATATCTGCTGCCAAATTAAAATTTGGATAATATTACAAATATCTATATATGGCCCCATGTTTTTTCCCATGGTATGGATGTCAAAATAGTGGCCAGTGAAAATTCTGAGTGGCCAGTAACTTTGGAAAACCACTAGCCACAGTGGCTAGCAAGTAAAAAAGTAGGGCTGCACGATTAATTGCAACGAAACCGCAACATATCATTCCAGGAAATCCCTATCGGGCATCATCGCTGTAGCTGAATTATCATAAAATTTTATTTAAATAAATGCTTTTAAATTACTTATAAATACGCAACTGCCTTATTCTGTGTAAGAAAGCCACATCATCTAACTAAAGAATGCTTCATAACTGTCGTTATGAAGTGAGTTTGGAGTAAAGCATGTTATTAAATGTCAGGTTCAAAAATGATTTTCATGTTAAAATGCTTCATGAAAAGATAATTGACGTGTGTTGCTTTTTCAAATGCATGTTATAAGTGACTCACAGGGCTTTCAGATGGAGCAGCGTTTACAGAGCCATACAACAATGACAAGCTACACATAAAAAAAAAACAATCGCAGCCTTTGCAATTTCAAAATCACGATTGTGATTAATCATGCAGCCCTATAAAAAAGTTATGCAAACTATATATAAATTATGAAAATCAACAAAAATTAATTATGCTTTATATATATATATATATACTGTATATATTCAACAGGTTAATTTCCAATAATTTCCAAACAGGTTCAATAAACTGTTCCATTTAAAAAGAAAATGTCAGGGTATACCAGGTTAAGAGCTTCAAATAGACTGAAATTCGCTGTTATTATATAATATGATGCAGTTAAGTGTCTCTACGCACCGCTGCATGACGTCTTCCTTCATTCCTGTCTGCTCCCAACCATTCGAGAGCTCTCTTCACCTCAAACTCCACATACTCTGCAGTGAAGGTGTCTCCTGCCATGGACAGGTGACCCATGGCCTTAGAGGCCATCTCCATGACCACTGAGTCACTGGAGGGAAGCAGATTCCGTAGGTAGTTCGCAAATCGGCTGATACGGGTTGCATTTCCCCCCTCCACACCAATCAAACTCACTGTAGAGAAAGCCATTACACAATAACATCACTTCAAACCAAGCAATGCAATGGCGAGTTACTTTCAAAGCGAAATTAGTTCAATCTGACAAAATGGAAACATAAGTTAACATGTTCCATTATTTTATTAAAAATAAAAAATATGAAGTAGAGAGTGATTTTCACTTGATTCATACTCACCTATGGCAAGGATACCGCCTTTTTTCTCATTCACATCTGAGCTGGAAACCAACTCGAATATGTGGTGGTTCAGCTCATCATAGAAAGTAGTGGCTTCGTCTTGGCTCAGCTTGAGTCAGAAGTAAAAACAGAACACAAAACATGACTTTTCCTAATATTCGTATACTTTAAAGCAAGGACGTACTCACATTTGGCACAGTTGTACTGTGCTCAAGCACATTATTGTACCCCCTTTCCCACAGGCCTGCACTCACATTGCACTTAATGTTCCGGGCCTGAGCATGCATAGATGCATTAAGATGAAACTTTGTTTGTTGTAATGATTACAGTAGAGCACACACAAATAGTAGCTGTTCAATGCTCCGGCACAGTTAGAACACTTCATGCATTCATTAGCCCATCTCTTCAAGCAGGCCAGGACAAAATGGACCTTGGGTGTCAAATTGGGTGCTCGGGCACAGTTCCGATCACCAAGTGTGAGTACACCCTAAACACACCTCAAAAATGCTCTACTTATATACTGTACATGATGTGCTCAATTAATCAATTGCAAATAACTGTATGTTAATATTTACTAAGAAAAGCCCACAAATTAAGGAAATTCTAAAACATTACATTAGTCACAGAAAAAGCACTGAAAAGACAATACAAACATTGGCTTTAGAGGTCGATAATAGATGCTGCAGTCAATTGATAGGCATTCTGGTTTACCAATATGTTACAACTAGGGTTGGGTATTGTTTAAATTTTAACGATTCCAATTTAAATTCTACTTATCGATTCCTAATTTCGATTCGAATTAGGTAAAATAAAAAAATTAAAACATATTCACATTTAGGGCCCTATCTTGCATCCAGCGCAATTGACTTTGTACACCGACGCATGTATAATTCGTATTTTGCACCCGTGCAAAGCGGACTTTTCCCTCTACAGACGCAAGCCGGCAAACTAGGGAATGAACTTGCGCTCCGTGGGTGGTTCAGAGCAAAAAAGGAGGCGTGTTCCCATGCAAACAAACCCTGGTGCTATTTTGCAGTTCCAGAAAACAATTGCATTTGAATGTACACGCAACGCGCCACTGACTTTAGAATAGGTTTTTTTCTGGTCAGTGGCGCCTTGCCCGTACATTCAGATACAATTTTAAGCCCTCATGCTTGGCCATAATACAGAGTGTGAACAACGCGCATACACTGTAGATGATTCTCTCATCTACACAGATGCGTTTTACTTTTTGCAAATGATACATTATTTTAAGGAAAAATATTAAAACATAAGGGAAATCGTTGTTGTGTCCATGACGATGGGAAAAATAGGCATAAAGCTTACACATTTACCCAAATTATTATATGCATGTTTAACCGAAGCTAATTTGGGTGGGTTTGTCCCATTCCCAATGTCACTTCTCTTTCTTTTACGGCCCTGACAAGAACATCGATCTCCTCGGCTGTGAACCAATTCTGAAGCGCGCCTGGTAAATGCACTGTTATAATAGTATTGCGCCACGGAACAAGCGCACCTCGTTCATCATGCTCTTAAAGGGAATGTGATATAACACTCTTATTGGTTTGTTTCCCATTACGCCTAAACCACACCGATGAATAATGAAGCTACTTCAGACCAACCCCTTTTAGATTTGCGTAGAGCACAAGAGACATTTATCCCGCCGGTTAAATAGCAACAGCCCCGAGATCCGCCCACAAAGTTACTTGCGCTTTGCATTTTAGATCGTTAAAATAGGGCCCTTAGTCTTATTGCAAAACTTTTATTTGTAGCTGAATATCATAAACAAAAATAAACAGACTAAATAACACTTACGCAAGGAACGTTTGCTTGTGGTTTAAAAAAAAAACATAGAAAAACAATAGCCTAACTAATATAAATTTCAAGAAAAAGAACAAACAAATTTGCATTTCATAAATAAAATATACATTACACATATAAAAGTTATTCAGTCAAGAATGAGTGAATTTTCTTTTTGTCTTTTGTTGTTTGATTAGTGTTATTATAGAGACAGCTGCTGTCACTTTAAGAGTCCAATATAGTTACACATGCCCGCAGCACTGAGAACAGTGTGAGCCGTCTCGCGCTTGAATGGTTTAAAATCACATTAAAATCCCTTTTTCTGTACGCACGTTTTGGATGTGTGTGCGGCACATGAAACAACTTGTGAGTCGTCTCACACTTGAATGGTTTAAAATCACTTTTTCTGTGAGCGAGCTTTGGATCTGTGTGCAGCACATAAAACAGCATGCAAGTCTTTGGTTTTCGATTCCCAACCGTAGTTACAACAGATATGATCAAAAACAGACAAAACAAAACGTTTAAGATGTTTAAGCCATCATCACTTGGCGTGAGAGCAGGTGAGACCTGAACGGTAGGGATGCACCAATATAAAAATTTTGGCCGATACCAATAATTACTTACATTTGAAAGTCGATAACCGATATATTGGACGATAAATCTGGATACAAATTTTATATACATTTTGAAAGCCTAATTCCAAAAACAAAAATCGCACTATTAAAAGCCACGTCCCAAGCACACAATTATAACATTCTCATTACAATTGTATGTAGCCTAAATGCCAGACAAGCGCTGGACATGTTACACTTAACTGTATTTTCTTTTTTCAAAGTGATTTCAATCATATTTCAAGCAAGAATATATGTCCCAAATTGTCTTATCGGGCCGATAACATAAAAAAATTATTCATATGCCTATATTTCATGCATCCAGATCAGCATGTTTCTATCAATGCTTAAATTAAACTCAATTGCGTGTCAATTTAAACATTCAAGCACAAGAAAGTGCAAAAGAGAATGCACGCACTATGAGAAGATTTGCACGCGCACAAATCGCACAATAAAAAAGAGCGCACAGGGAAATTACGCACAAATATATAAAAAAAAAAAAAACTTTTTCAAGTCTTATTGCGCTTTAACAGACAAATTCACACAACAATGATGTCAATATGCCCGTCTTGGCAAGTACGTCTTAAGAAAACAGTTGAGAAAGACAATATTCCTGCTGTGTGTTTTTAATGTTAAATTAAACAACAAAAGACAAGGAAATCACTCACTGCTCTTGACTGAATAGCTTTCGCAACTTTAATAAGGATTAATCTTTATTTAATTTACAGTGCACTTTTATTTTACATTTGGTTACTTATTAAATGTCTGTACCTGAAAACTGTTACATACCTGAAAAGCACAGGTTATTTTATTTGTATCTTTGCTCAATTGTATTTATTTGAGCTATTGCTTTTAGTTTGATTATTTGTTCTTATTTTTATTTGACAGTAGTCCTTTTTAACACCCTGAACATAGCACATCCCGAACCGTACAGAAACCGTGATTCTGAAACCATGATTCTAAAACCGTGATACAAACCGAACCATGAGAAATTTGAACCGTTACACTTCTAAAATCTTGTGAACGTAAACAATTGAGAAAGAAATCGTGTATGTATCAGATTATTTGCTCCGTGCAGGTCTGAATTAAGTGACAGCAGCCTAACAAACCTGTTGACAATGCTGACACATTGTTGCTATCTGTGTCATTATTGTTAATCAAACAACAAAAGAAAATTACCCACTGCTTGACTGAATAACTGTAATATATTATCAAGAATCAGTGTATAGTTAATTTATAGAGTGAAGACTATGCAGTTTTTTTTTACATTTGATTATTTAATTAATGTGAATGCTACTGTTAAAAGTCCCATGAAATAGGGTTATTTTTATTAATTTATATTATAGAAATAAAAGACATTTTTCCAAGCCTGATTTTATCCTCTAATTTAAACGTTGTTTGAAGGGGCGTGTCTGACGTGGGCTTCAGTGTAACCGGCCACTGCTGTGATTAGCTAGCATGCTTGCATATGAAATAGCTACGTATTATATGTGAAAATCTCTCGAATACTTTTACTACAGCTATTATACGTATTTACTATTACAGCTATCGAGATTAATGAATCGTGAGAAGAATTTAGATATACTCCCATTAGGGTTGGGCAAAAAAATAAAATGTTTTTTAAAATGTGGTAGATTTAAAAAAACAATTCTCAACGGCCATATTCCATATTCATTTGTTTTTGTGTTTTACTGGTGGGATTCTCAATGGGATTTGTCTGAGATCTTCCGGTCATGCTTAATGCTTCTTCTTGGGGGAAGTTCTCTGAGGAAATGTTGAGAACTCCCGGTCGTGATTTAAGCATTTAGAGGACATTTGCTGAAATCTGTTTGTCGATTATTCCTGCACAGGAAGTAAGCTAGTTAATGGAACAAGTTATTTCGCAAAACACTAGAGACCTTACTCCCAAGTGATCAGTGTTGGGAAAGTTCACTTTCTACATGAACTAGTTCAAAGTTCAGTTCACAAATTTTAAAACGAACTAGTTCAGTTCATAGTTCATACTTCAAAAAATGAACTAGTTCCATAGTTTTTCCATATGTTGCGAGCTTCTTTTTAAAAAAATTATTATTATTGCCACAGCCCATTTACAACAACAGACAACAATTATTTTATCGACAGGCAAAGATTGCCCAGAAATATAAGATTTTTCCCATCCTTACCGACCTCGTCATAACCTGTTTAAATGATCATACGACGCCTTCTCGCTCGCTGCTTTTTCAATGGCGGCCGTGGTGCGACACTGTTGGCTGGTGTTGCCAGATCGTTCAGTTCACGTTCAGCCAAAATATGAATGCGTTCAGGCACGACACTGCAAGTGATAGTGTTCAATAAGGGGCGAGACGTCATTGACTCTTTGTGAGACTCTTAGGCAGGGTTAGATTGTGTAAAATCATGCATTCAGAGGTAACTCAACCGAGTATAACATTTTCAAGTGTCAAGGAGGTTCAGGTGTAACCTCAACCTCAGGTTTCAACCAGGTTCAACCTAAAGGCCTCATTATGCTTCTGCGTCAACTCCACGGCGTAGCTACGTCGTCACTGCTACGGCGTCGTGGCCGTTTTATGCTTCTGCGTGAGGTTGTGGTGCTTCGTGGTGCATTTCACCGCCAGAACGCTAGGGGGTGTGTGGTTCGCGAATCTCTTTGGTTCCGTGCGCCGCGAGCGAAAGACCGAGAATGTTGTTGCAGCTGCCAGCTGGAGCTAATCGACGTTGAATAACAAGACGACACAAACTTTATCCCCACAGAATAAACACGGATGTCCAGGGCCCGTTCCACCCATAGACAGTAAAAGAAAGGTTCCACCCGAGCTGCCATAACGATAGCTGTTCGGAATGACTTGAAGGATTTTTTTTCAGTATCCACATGGAACTGTGCTATGGCAGGATAATGTGTCCCGACTCCCGTGGCAGACTTGGTAGTAGGCTACTGTATTATCAATGATGTAAGTTAACCGTGAACATTGTATTGAAAATAAACAACAAACTGTGTTTCAAAACAAACGTTGATTTTTTGATTGATTGAAGAAAGAAAGGAATAACAGTTATAGACATATATATTATCAATGAAATAAAAAACAACAGTTTATTTAGGTTTAATTCTTTATTTACTATCTTTATAAGAGTATTATAATTATCAGTACGAGGGTGCAACTGTTTAAAAGGAAACCAGAAAAGCTACACTCCTGAATTGATGTATAATCTTACCAATCAAAGCCCTTGCTGTCTGCGTCACCTCGACGCGTAGTTACAAATTTTTGGAGGTGCACGTCGAGCTACGGCGGAGGGGTCGGAGAGGGGTTCGCGTCGACGCAGAGAGGTCTGCGGGGGTACGCCGTCGATTCGACGCAGAAGCATAAAACAGGCTTAAGTCAGGTGTGTAGGGGAAAAATCTACCACAACCCCCACCCCACACAACTCATAGTATATAATATATGATATTGGCGTTATTTTGACATTTAACTGCATTTAATACTTGACTGTTTTTATACAGTTATAGTTCATTGTATTGTTATCATTTTTGTTTGTGTATTTTTTAATACTTCATTGACAATATTATGTTAAAGATGCAGGCTACGTCCCTAAATATCAGCTTAAACTTATCCAAGGTTTTAATTTATTAATTATTTATTTAATAATTATATACAATTGGATAAAGTATAAAATAGTGATGATCTCAATTTATCTTAAACAGTTGGCAAATATTGCTGCATTCATTGTCATGTTCAGCTCCTTACATCTTCTCTCTCATTCTTCAAGCGTTAAAAAGCGCCCGTGCTGGAACTACTGCTCGGACTCGACTTCTGTGAACAGTAAACCCGCCTTCTTTGGTTTGATTTCATTGGCCATGTCAAACATTTTGACATTGGCGAGGGTATCCACCTGGGCCGACAGAATTATACATAAATGTACTATTATTCCATCTTTATACATTTACATAGCAACAGGTCGGCCCATATTGTCCAGCGGCTCACTGGAAAAACTCCCGGTGCTCCAGATGGCCAGTGTGCCCTTGCTCTTGACTAAACTATTGTAGCTTTAATAAGAATGAATCTATATTTAATTTATGTAGTGAATAATATGCAAGACTTTGCTTTTATTTTACATTTGATTACTTTATTTAATTCATTCCTGAATACTACTCTTGTACCTACCTAAAAAACACTGTTTATTTTATTTGTGTCTCTGTTCTATTGTATTTATTTGTACTATTGCTTCTGATTTGTTTATTTATTACTGATTGTTTGTCTTTAATAATGTTTGAACTTGATATTAGTTCGGTTGCTGTTAGTTATTATTGTTAGTTATTACATCATATATATATATATGAAGAGTTCAGATGCAAAAGCCTCTAAATGCCATTTGAAATTTTTCTTCTTTAATGATGATTTTTATCAAACTTGTATATTTAAGTTCAGTAATTTCCCTTAAATGGCAATGATAATTACCTATTAATTGTTATTTAAGTGAAATTACTGAACTTAAATGTACAAGTTTGATAAAAATCATCATTAAAGGAGAAAATTTCAAATGGCATTTAGAGGCTTTTGCATCTGAACTCTTCATATATATATAGTTATTGAAATTAGTATTGTGAAGTTTCACCAGTATGTAAAATGTTGGTGTCATAAACAACATTATTTATTAGAATATGAAGTTACATGTGTTAAAAATAATGAAAACAACTTTTTTGCAGTGGGGTCAGTGAAAATATAGGCAGAGTGAGTAAAAAATCTGAACCACTAACACTAGTGGCATTAGAAAATCCTTAGCGTTGAGCCATGTAAGCTGTAAAATCGAAATCATCCTTTTAAAGTAGTACTATTTGTTACAGGCAGTATTCCTGTTAGTGGATCTTGCAGAGCATCTACAAAGGCCAGTGGTCATGACTCATGCACATGCAATTATTCTTCCTTCAGTGTGTTTAAACAAACAAGAAAGGAAACATATTTACAGTAAATACACTTATGAAAGCATAACTGCATGTGCATGACTCATGACCACTGGCCTTTGTAGATGCTCTGCAATCTCTCTGTTTTCTGTCACAGATGTGGTACCTAGATATTACATTTAGTAAAAATATATAGTCAAGTCAAGTTAAGTCACATTTATTTATATAGCGCTTTTATATAGAATATTTCTTTAATATTTCCTTCAAATCTAGGCTTCTGAGTCTGCTGATGAAGTTTAATTATGTAAATAGATCAAAGTTTACCTCTCTTAGTTCTGTAGTGACATAGTGTTGGAGGTCTTTGGCAGATTTGGCACGCGTGTCTTCATTGCGACTCTTAAGACCACTCACAAACTGCTGCAGAACTGTGGCAGTGCCAGACATGCTGGCGACTGGGATGCAGCTATCAGTAGATCTACCTGTAATTCAAACAACATATCAGAAACAACTGTGTTATTGTGACTGTAGAAACTAAAGTGAAGAAATATTTTGATTTCCAGGGAAAGCAGTGCTGTCTGAGACTGTACTTCGGAAATTAAAAAGCTTTTACAACTTCCAGGAAATAAAAAGCATTCCATTGAACATAATTATATTTGACATTCAGTATCCCTTTATGAAAAATTTGTGAATTCAATTAGATAAAGTATATAAAAGTACAGTATGCCAATGTCTACAGTAAAAGTAATTCATTTTACTGTAAAGAAATAAAAAAGTGAACTAATATTAAAGTAATAATATAACAAATATAATGATATAAAAGTGAAGAAATATTTTGATGCCCAGGATAAGCAGTGCTGTCTGAGACAGTACTTTGGAAATTAAGAAGCTTTTACAACTTCCAGGAAATAAAAAAGCATTCAATTGAACATATATGTGGCATTCAGTATCCCTTTATGAAAAATGTGTCAATTCAATTAGTTAAAGTATATAAAAGTACAGAATGCTGTCTACAGTAAAAGTAATTCATCTCTTGTAGGGTTTGAACCAACAGTCTTTCGGTTAACAGCTCAGATTTTCACCACTACAAAGCCTGTCCCCATTTCATTAATAAACAGACACATTAGTCACAAGAACTTACAATTTTAAGTGAATCAATACCCCAAATTAGGTATCCTGATAAAAGATTTACCCTACAATCTCACAGCTCCTAGCCCAGATCTTTTACCACAAAGCTAGGCTGCACAATCTCGACCTTATAGCACGTCATATTGCTATTATTAAAGCATGCTCAGATGAAAATAAGAGACGCGTGTGTAGAATAATATAGAATAATGGAAGAACACAATAACAGGACGCATAACTTAGTGGTTAGCCAAAGGTGCTAACCTACAATCATCATATAGCACCAGTGACTGTTAACCGTTTACGTAATATTAAACAGAACATTAAAAAGGATTCATGTATTTTAAAAATGCAATATTTCTTACTTGTGTTAAGGGTTTAGCAGTAGATGTGTTGCACTCGTGAAACTGCAAATACAGAGAGGCGGACACAAAAAATAAGTGACGTCACTTCCGTCTAACCAACCATTCGCTCGGACGGAAACAGCAGTTTACATCCAAGCACAACGACCAGAGAATAGCCGTTTCTCAATATGCGTTCTTGTCTGTACTTGTGTTCTTGTGGACTTGTGAAACGTCATCAGTCGCTGCCCAAGTACTGTTCCAAATTGAAGAGAATTGGCACTAGACGGGTTCGGTTGGCACCAGCTGGTTACTTCCGGGTTCTGGACTGGCTGCAGTAAGGCGTCTCTGTCCATGCGGGGGCGGTCGAGTGCAGAATGAATGGGAGTCAATGGGGTTTCACCACTTTCTTACAGGGGGTAACCTTTCTGTAAGAAAGTATTCTTTCTAAATACTGTAAAAAGTATTATTTCTAAATACTGAAAGTTTAAGTGTACTTGGCTTGTACTTGTGTTTACTCTTTTAACCTTATTAAGTAATTTTCACATGCAAGTTAACATCAAAGTCTGCATGCTTAAAGTACAGTAAATTGTTTATTTCAAGCATAAATACTATAAGCTAATTGGAAACTTAGTAGTATACTTTAAATGCAGAAACTAAAGAAGTACAACCTGTTTGTGGGTAGTTATGTATGTGTTTGTACTGTGTTGTCCTTTGTTTGAACTGGGCATCCAAAACAATATTTGTTTGAAAACTTTGATTTATAAAGTAATGACTTTTTGATTTTGACTCCTGAGTTTGTCTTGTGAATATTTATATTTGTAGTCCACTGGTAGAGTGAGTTAACATCAAGTGTACATAAAGTACAGTAAAAGGTATATTTCAAGTAATATGTAAGTAGTAACCTATTAGTACACAGCGCAAAAAATAATATATAAATAGTAAACTATAAGTATGATGTTAAGTTCACTGAAAGAAAACTTACAAGTACACTTATAGTATAAAAACTATTAAAGTAGTAGTTTACTGAGTAGTATACTTAAAAGTGTACTTTCATAAACTAAAAATCCAGGCTAGAAGTATATACAGTCGTGCTCAGAATTAATGGCACCCCTGGTAAATATGATAAAAACTGGCTGTAAAAAATAATTCTGCATTGTTTATCCTTTTGATCTTCCATTCAAAATATTGGCAAAATTCTAACCTTTCATTGAAGCTAAAGAATTGAAAGTGGGGGTAAATCACACTATGAAATAAATGTTTTTCTCCAAAACACTCTGGCCATAATTGTTGGCACCCCTAGAATTTATTTATGAGAAAAATATCTCTGAAGTACATTCCCAATAATATTTAATTTTTTAAGCAAATCAGGGTGACTAGGAACATGAAATTGTCCAGCTATGACTTCTTGTTTTAAGGAGTTTAAATATGAGGAAGCACAAAGGTCAAATTACCTGAATCATCCATCATCACAATGAATAAAACCAAAGAACATGGTTCTGATGTGCATCAAAAGATTGTTGAGCTTCACAAAATAGAAAGTGGATGTAAGAAAATAGCTAAAGAATTAAAAATCCCCATTTTGACCATCTGGACAATATTTATTTGCTGGAGGTCCTGGACATCTTGTTCCGATACATGGTATTATGGATTCTATCAAATACAAAAAGATAAAAAATAAAAACCTGACGCCTTCTGCTAGAAATCTTATAATGGGCCGTGGTTGGATCTTCCATCAGGACAACGATCCAAAACAAAAATCAACACAAAAATTAGTTACGGAGCACAAAATGAAGCTTCTGCCATGACCGTCCCAGACCCTGACCTGATGAGTGGAGTGAACTGAAGAGATGAAGCACCAACATGGATCTGGGAATCTGCAGGATCTGGAGAGAGTCTGTATGGAGGAATGGTCTCTGATCTCTGGTCAGGTGTTCTCCAAACTCATCAGGCATTATAGGAGAAGACTCAGATCTGTTATTTTGGCAAAAGTTTACAGATCTGAGGTTGCAAAAAGTTTTTAATAACAGGGTGCCAATAATTATGGCCAGAGTGTTTTGGAGAAAAACATTTATTTCATAGTGTGATTTACCCCCACTTTCAATTCTTTTGCTTCAATGAAAGGTTAGAATTTTGCCAATTTTTTGAATGGAAGATCAAAAGGATAAACAATGCAGAATTATTTTTCTCATCATATTTACCAGGGGTGCCATTAATTCTGAGCACGACTGTAACTAGTAAACTAGAAGTATATCTATAAGTTCACTTGTAGTATAACTGCAGTACAAAATAAAACTTTGAAGTAAACTAGTTGTGAACTCAAAGTTTACCACTCTTACACTTTAAGTATACTTAAAAGTATACTTTTATATACTAAAAAGTGGGCCAATTTAGTCCCAAGAAGTATTAAATTAGTACACTTACAAGTATAAACTAAAAATCCAGGCTAGAAGTATATAACTAGTAAACTAGAAGTATATCTATAAGTTTACTTGTAGTATAACTGCAGTACAAAATAAAACTTTGAAGTAAACTAGTTGTGAACTCAAAGTTTACCACTCTTACACTTTAAGTATACTTAAAAGTATACTTTTATATACTAAAAAGTGGCACAATTTAGTCCCAAGAAGTATTAAATTAGTACACTTACAAGTATGCTACTAGTACTATGATCTTAGTATGTACAGTATACTTGTGAAAAATACTTGAACGTTACTTAAGTATACTTAGTTAAATAAACTTGAAGTATACTTTATTTTGGTAAGGGTCCCATTCATGCTGCACTCGCCCGCGATCACCTCCAGTGGAATTCTAATGGAACTGCAACCAAGGTGATGCACAATGGGGCTAATAGGAAGTGCCAAGGCTCTCCGTTAGACAGGCTCTGTTCCAATTCAAAGTTCGCATCTAGCCAAGTCCACTTCAAATCCCCAGATGTGTTCTTGATCCGCCCCGTTTACCGAGGATGCATCGAGAGGTGACTTGTGTCAGAGCCCGTCTAACGGAGAGCCTTGGCACTTCCTATTAGCCCTATTGTGCATCATCTTGGTTACAGTTCCATTAGAATTCCACTGGAGGTGATCGCGGGCGAGTGCAGAATGAATGGGAGTCTATGGGGCTAAACGTCTAAATGTGTCTCTTTCACCTGCTTGTCGTTAAATCAACATAGCTTTTATTGTTGATTCCGCAAGTTCAATATAGATTATAAGCCAAAAGTCGAATGAACGAATACTTATGTCCTTTCGATGTCTTACAGGTTAGGCCATTGTTGGCCGGAACACGCTAGCATTCTGCTATTGTGTGATGTCATCACATTTTTTAACAGATTTTTAGAACAGATAAGTGGACTTAAAAATGCAATTTCCAGCTGAGTGTATTATCTTGAGTGTATGCCCTCCCTTTTGAATCCAACTTTCAAATTACTTACAAAAAATTACATCCTGCGAAAAGTGGATTTCTGGTGAAACCCCATTGACTCCCATTCATTCTGCACTCGACCGTGAGCGCCCCCGCATGGACAGAGTCGTGTTACTGCAGCCAGTCCAGAAACCGGAAGTAACAAGCCAGTTGACTCATAGACAGTAAAAGAAATGGACAGAGCGATCTCATTGGAACTCCATTGAGACGATTGAAGCCCGTTTTTGGCGATTTTTTAGCACTTCCGTCACTGACGCGCAGACTCAAACAGAGCTTGACTACGTAGTGGGACGTGAGTGACGCGTCTGTCTGCTGTGGCATGAGAAAGAATCATTCCCTTCCGAAACATGCAGAGGCAGAGAGTGTGAATAGGAGCTGTCCATGAGCTAGGAGAAGGAGACAACTTTGCTAGGTATTCTGATTAATTATTTTGTCATTTTGCCTCCACGTTTCCCCGATTGCGCGCGAGCTTCTTCTCATGTCCATACGGTAATCTCTCTACTGTGCGACAGAGAGTCGCGTGGGTATGACGCAATCGTTAGCCTACTTTTACTAAAACTGCTTCTACAGGGCCATAACATAAGCTACAAGGTAATG